TAGCAACTGTTGTCTTAACTGTTCTTATCATATTAATTTAATAATATAAATTTTATTAACCTAAAATAAACGTAGATTATACTTTCCGCTTAGTTAAGTTCTTCATAATATTTAAAAGTAAAAAAACGAAATATACTATTGTTACTACATATATTGGCTTTTAGTAGAGATTTTACTTTAAAAGTTTACGGCGTGTATATAAAATTTATATCTTCAACTAATTTACAAGTAGTTAGACCAGAATCATACTGGTCTAAATATTGAATCATACTGGTTTCAAAAAAAATGTAAAACTAAAACGCGGTCTTAATATTTGAAATTATATTGTTAAATTCTAGTGATACGCATTTGCTTATTTCTTGTCCAGGGTAGGTGCAATTTATAAGTAAGCTAAGAAATTAATATTCTAGATGATTTCAGTAAATTAGGGGGAGTTTCATTGGAGAGCATCTTAAGCTTCCATAAAGGTTGAAAATGGTTTTATATCCTCTGAGTTGCGGCAACGAAATGGGCTACTAGCAGTAAGCGACCTAAAAGACCTATAGTACCCCTTAGTCAGATTAAAGTGCTTCACCAAGTCCGATTTCTTCAATGAAAGACAGAATAGTGCCCATCTTTCCTACTCTTGAATCCTTATGATCCATGAAATACTCTCCTAAGTCTTTCTTCAGCTTGTATATCAGTGACGGGCACTCCACAAGCACATGGTATGTAGTTTCTGTCTCTTCTCTACAGTATCTGTAGTCTGACTTGAATTGAATTCCTAACTTCGTTAGGTGATTATTCAATCTACAGTGACCGGTCAATAATCCCGTAATAATTCTTAGGTTATTCTTTGATTGTTCTTTGTAATTTTTAAAGCGTTTTAAATTGTAAGTTCCTAAAAGCATTTTATATTGTGATAGCCTTGAAAGCCTTTTTCAATAGAGTTCTCTTTCTTTATCCTCAGCGCCGTTCATAAGAATGGATGTGTGCCTACACCACAGCGAGGTTCTGGGCCTATCATTATTGAAGCCATACCTCTTCTTCCAAGTTTGTCTGCCATTTTGTTGTCTTGGATACCAGCATGCCCCGAAATCCATATTAAGTGCACCTGATTGTTCCAGCCGAGTATGTTGAACTGTCAATGCACTTCCATACCAGTTTGGATGTTGCCTGGTAGGATATGAGTGCCATTATAATTACTTGACTGTCAGTCAGATTTGCAATTTTACGGTTTCGGTAGTTATGTTCAAAGTTGAAACTGGCGCATCTATCTATAGCGTATATATCCGCTTGAAAGATGGTTATATTTTTTTCCTAGTGCTTCCCAGTATCTTTTGATAACCTAATCTAACACTGAAATTATTGTACTTTACTTTTTATTGAATTTTTAAAGATTATAATATAAATTAATATCATTTTTTTTTGTTGAAGAATGAGCCAATTGATAAATCTAAATAGAATTTTAACCTTTCCAACTAGCATTCTTCATGCGACTGTCACTTGCTGTTCTCATACAATTTATAATGTTAAACATCACATCGGCATCGTTAGCAAATTTATCTAGACAGCGGAACTTAGCAATCGAATAGACGCTGCAATGCAAATTCAATTTTGACTATTTCAATTCGTATTTATGTGACTCTATGTATTAGAATCCGCTTGTCTATTAAAATCCGGTTTCTGATACAAGAAATCGTTACGGCGTCTTTGGCAACGTTATTTTGACGGAGAGAGTGATCTTTATTTTTTTGCAGGTCCTTTTATCCTTTGAGGTGTAGACGTCAGCATAAACCATTAGTTCTAATACCTTATTCTACATCTTAACCTATATCCTGATTACAATTTTATAATCTAATACAAGTATGTAGCGAATCTTTTTAGTTATGCTGTTGATAGTCCAGGCTTAACATCTTATTTTTTAAACCAGCCCCGTTTATGATTAGGCCTATGTCTTCTACACTATGTTACAAACACCATGACTAAAATATTATACCCTTTTCGCACGTTACGTGAAAGGTATAATATATTATGAACAACAGAAAATCATTCAAATGAATTTAATTTGTTTAAACGTAAACATGTTAACTGGCATAAATATAGTTAACAAACAAGATTAGAAATGCATAATTTATTGAACTAAATTAATAAGCGTGTTACTTCATATGTACAATATACTATTGTATTTCAAGCAGAACATGTGTTTCACAAAAAAACAACACAAAATATTTAATAGATTATTAAAAGCTACCGAAACTTATCTATTGCAATTTGTGAGGTGCATTAGACTTTTGTTTAACAATCACGCAAGATACAATCGCAAGGAACATGCAACATTTTTTATGAAATATTTGTTTTTTTTATATATATATATTTTATTAATAATTAGTGTGAACAAATCATATTTATTTAATAACTATTACACTCTTAATTGTTGCAAAAACAAATAATAATTTTTCTGATTATTATCTAAAAAGTAGTTAAATAAAATATGCATAAATAAAACAAATTACAGATACTGGTATAATAAATTTAAAATGTAAAATTAAAATGATAAAGGTGATATTTTTTAATCATATAAAAAATAAATAATTCAAAAATAACAAAAATATCGTTAAACAAGAAAACATTAAATGAAAATAAACTACCTCAGATGTATGAATATTCACAAGACACAAGCACTTTAATGCTACCAAATGAAAGCAAAATGGACTTTATGATGGGCGTTTTAACGGGCGCCTATGTTGTCATCGCTGTTGTTGTATTTTACATTATTTATATTATAAAAGCGAAACTAGGTAAATTTTAAAGTAAATAAATAATCATATAAACAAATATTACATATATAACATCTTATGTATTTAGTTGCATTATGACTGCCTTTAATTTGAATGGCAGCTCAATTTTTACATTTTAATATTAAACATTTTTATTTATTCATTTATGTTATAAATTATGAAATAATAAATACTTTATTTAAAATAGACTTAAATCTTATATTATAAAATTGTAAAAATAAAAATAAAATAAATATATAGTAAATAAAAATAACATAATTTATGTAAATACATTTTTATATACATATTTCTTTATTTTTAAAACAACTTCACATTGCTGAATCTATCTGTAATACAGTACTACAGTAATTATCTAATATAACAAATATCCAATCTAACTAACGACAACACTCTGTCATTGACTATTCTATATAACGAATGCATATATAAATATTTGTATATATATTTATACATATTTTAAATATAAATATCAAATGTGACATATATGTATATATATATATACATTTATATACAGAAACTATCAAACCTATTTCGTTAAAATTTTAATGAAAAAGAGATGTACAATTTATAGACTATGTTTTAAATATAAACGGAACTGGGGTTACTTAAATGCAAAAATAATTTTTCTTTGGAGAAAGGAACAAATTGGATTTCAAAGAGCAAAACACTTAGAACTGAAACACGAAGGCAAAACTTGTGTACTTACAACTTTAAGATTAAGGATTTAGACCCGATAAACAAACGGATGGATACATTTATTTTCAATCAGTTTATCTTTTACTATAGTGTACTATGTCTCCCAATAACAGCCACAAAATAATTAAGTATATATTTCTTCAAATAATAAATTACTCTTAATATATTTAAAAAAAAATAATGAGTATTTTTTAGGTAGTGTAGAAACTTTAAAAGAAAAAAAAACACACAAAGATAAATAAAATATGTTAATTCTTTTAATTTGATGGATGGATAATATGCATAATATGGCATTATTGATGCGAAATGATCCGGGAGTCATTTGCTGAACTTTATGACTTTTTCAATCATTTGAAGACGTATCTCATATCAATAGTGTACTCATTGTTGAGTTCCAAGTATAAAATCAATTCTGGTTTATCCTCATAGACCAACTATTTAAAGTAACGCTACAGAAAATAAATCAGCAGCGTCAGATCAAAAGATCTTGCTGTCCACACAATGGGTCTGTTACTGAAGATTTTATATACATATTATTATCAAATTATTCTTTCAATAAGTCAGTAGTTGACTTTAAAATATTCACTGTAACACCTTTCTATTGAAACAAACGTCTAGCAAACCACACTTTTGAAAACAACGTTTCGTTCAATATAACTCGATAGTAACGAGCACCATTAATGATGACACTTGCATTTTCTTTATTTTTTAAAAAATAGCCCGATTATAATATCAATCCAAACTGCACCAAACAGTTCAGTTTTTCAGATATATGAGATATTGAAGGGGTGCCAACGGATTTTTCAAGTGATTTTATCAACTTTACTTATTAACAAACGCTTTGAGGTAGGATTAAGTGTCAACCTAAATAAAATTGTACCATTAAAAAAGGATTTTACCATTCAATAAAGTCGCAACAGAAAGAATCAATTTACAACTTCAATAATATAGAGACGTAAGTCAATGTCCTTGCACAAAATATATCACACTGATCTCAAGAGCAGCAAAGCTTTAAATATATAAACCAATGTAGAAATTATTTTATTAATGGCTAAATATTAAGTTTTTTTTTATGTTTATTTAGTAAAAATAAATAATTACATTGAATAATTTTTCACTCATTTATTAAAAATGATTTATTAAAAAAAATTTATATTAATGCCTATAACAGATCTTATTTATTTTATTTATTTAATTAGATTTATATAAAATACGTTAATGCTTTTACTTTATTATATTAAGTTTGTGTTATTATTTTATATATATCTACTAAAATATCTACTATACATATTTTTATTAGTTTATTTTAACTTTAAAATATAATAATAATATCATTTGTTATTAACACAGTAACTTATGATAATATAACGTTATACCAATAGCTTGAACCAAATTTTTGCATGTAATAATGTTGTGTTTTATTTTGTTGAAATATTCCCTAATACTCGAATTCTCTACTAGTATATTACAGATAAAAATAAGTTATTTTATGAATAACTTTCTTTCTTGATATATATTTTTTAGATTTGCCCGGAGTTATTAGTGATCACAACAACCAAAGACTAAATTCCAGCCATAACAATAATCAGAATGATTTTTCCGAAATATCACAGATGCGTCTGCGGCAGCTAATTGAAACTATATTAGCTGAAACATTACGTACACCAATCTTAAGCTCTAGTGCGGTCTCAGAAATTGCACTAGACACCCATAGCAATGCAGAAACAATACCGTATTCTAACGGTGATGTCAAAATGAACTCCCGTCGTCACCGAACCGAACACTATTTTGAACCAAAAGCCTATCAAGATTTATTGGCTACTGCTGTGCTCAACAAGGTATGTTATTAATAAAATAAAAAAATATTTTACCAAAATTGTTTGATGATTATGTTTTTAAGTCAGCTAAAGATAAGAACGAAACTTGCATATTTATAAATATCTCACCTATATAATGACAAAAGTGTATTTTTTATAAATGTATATAAACTCGGATATAATACATAAACTCATTAACCCCATTTATTTAGTTCTAAACTTATTATTACTTAGATCGCAATTATACACGACATCTCGTAGGGGTTTACATAAGGATTATTCACATTTAAAATATTCTAAACATATGAGAACTGCAATTTGGTTATATATTTAAAATAGACGTGACAAATAACTGCTTATCAAATGGCTGTATTTGTCTATACCCTGACCTTAATTGGGTCAGTACAACTTTTATTCTTAGAGTTATCAGGAAAGTTTTATCATTTTATACCATAAGAACTTGTTCTTGTAGAAGACTCTATCTCAGTATGAAAGATCTGTAATTATTGAAGTTACTTGATCTTACTGATATAGTCACCGTTACAGCAGATGTCAAAGAATTTATGATACGAAGAAAGAGATCGAAAGTGTATTTTGATTTTGATGCCATTAGATAATTTTTTTTTTATACAGAGATTTTAAAAACACGTCATTTAATTTACCAGACAATGAAATCTTGTAAGTTCTTTCAATGAAGTTGTCGTACCATGCCAGTGGTATTGAGAAATTTACTAGTTTCGTTTATTATCTTATAAAATCAGAAACTGCAGTGATACTACCATCTCTACGAATATCGTACCATGCAACATTGACCATATTCTCAAGAACTTTATTTTAAAACTGTTGAATTATATCAATACTGCTCTAGAGGTTCCGGCCCAAATTTGTACAATATAAGGCCACACTGGTTTTGTGTATGCAGAGTTTTAATCTATTTCTGATGAATTAGTCCACTAATGAAAGCTTCAATCTGAGTTATTTATGTTTTTTATGATACCAAAAGAAACTGTGTTCTTGTTATATTTTAATTCAGTTCTTTCCAGACACGAAGGAAACCTTTATCGTCATATCGTATTACAGCGGCGTCAAGTTTATGTGAATCTAGATCTATTTAGGACGATCAACGTTTATGTTAAATTCTCATTAATTAAAATGTTATTGTTAATATAGTTTTATTTATAGTATGTGGCATTTAAAAACTTATAGTAATTTCTTTAATTGTTTTTCAATTTTTCTTAAAGTCTATAATATTCTTAGTATAATTATTTTCACCTTAGAAAAGCGGTAGTAGAGGAATGAAAAATATGTTTGGTTATGAAATAAAAACCACTGGAAGGAACTAAAGCGGGTTTTTATTCAAATCGTTTAAGTTCATTATGCATTTTTATTTATGCAAAAAAATAAAAAAACTTTTTAAGGTAAATGGTACAAAGAAATAACACAGAAAACCTACCTTTTGCAAACACCTCCTACATATGTTGAAGGAAATAAAAATATATATAAATATAAAATACAAACTTATTCGTACATCTAATGTCAGTGAACTTAATACTATCAAAGGGAACCCCAAAGCGCTTACATGAAACATGACGACGGTTTCAAAGGGAAAATACATCTAAAACACTTGTTGAACTCAAAATGTTCGTTGTGTGTTAAAGATAATTATCGAGGAAGCAATAGAAAAAGTAAGCAAATAAATTTTCCACGTCAAGAATCTAATTTCGAGGTCTAACCAAGTCTGACATAATGACGACAAAATCTAAAAATGTAACTTAGATTTTAGTACCTTAAATACTGAACACACTGTCGTCACTGTTGTCACTATTTGCCTGTATCTGCACATCTAGTTCAGACTTTCGTTAAGTTTTTCATTGAGCATTTGTTTGGATTCCTTCCTGTTACTTTATGTAGAAAAAATATTGAATTTTAGAATTCGACAGACAACTCTTCTTTAAAACTATTTTCAATTATTTACAGAATATATTGCGTAAATTAGTTGGTTTTCAACTGTTTAGCTGAATAGACGTTTATAATTTCAACGTAAAAATACGTGAAGTACTTGTAGAAAAAACAAAATTTATATTAATACAATTAACTAAAGTCAAAAATTAATAAATACATATATATATATATATATAAATATAATTAATTATTTAAAAAACAAACATTCAAAACTGAATATAAAAACATAAATACAATGTAGATTTAGAAATGGAGGATCAGGAGCAAGACAAGGATTCAAATGTACATATCGATTTCATCCAGTATTAAGATAAAAAAGCAGTGCATTTTAAGTCTAGAATGCTTAAGCCTATTAAAATATTTATAATGTATAATAAATATGTGAAGAAATATAATACAATAAATCTGAAATATATATATATAATATACATAATGTTTATATAAATATATTATATATAATAAACATAATGTTTATATATATGTAAATAATGTATTAATAAATATAACATTAGTTTTACATATCTATAAATTTTATTTTAATAAGACTAATATTAAATATATTTAATATTCTTTATATATATAATGATATGCATAATAAATATAGAAAGAAAAAGTAATTTAATAAATCTATAACCTTTATTTAAACATTATAATAAATAATCTAAATATCTACATAAATGAATTTATAAAAGAAATATTAAAAAAAGAAGAATAATTATTTCTATTATTTAATTAAAATTAAATATTATATAATATGATATATTATATTATATTATATTATTAATATATAACATATTAAAATATAAAATTTATATTCAAATTTACAATATCTTTATTAATGTTTGCTAAACCAATCTTAAAAATTGCAAAATTATTCGCATTGACCTGCAATTTTTTTCTGCTTTTCATTCCACAGATATGGGTTATATTTCTAAAAATAATCTATATATGTGGTGTAGAGAGAACTCTAATTAAATTAAAAAAATTGTATTTAAAAAAATCGAATATATTTTATAAATAGATTTCTTTACATTTTTGAGTTCATTTTTATCTGTTCGTTTGTATATCCTTCTAGTTGAGCAGACTCTACCGGTAAAAAATGTTGGTCTCTTCCTTATAGAATAGTAACACTAAAAACGTTTGTAGTTGTACTTTCAACCTCGAAAACTATATTCTAAGCATTATATTTCTACCGACACCTTTCCAAGTAGTAAAATTAAATAATAGAAAATTTCTATTGCCTCATTTAGTAACCTGCCTTCTGAATATTTTGTTATTTGCATACATAAATCACGCTAATTTACATTGTACGTTAACTTAATGTAATTGTTTTCACCCTTAATTTGTAAAATACTACGTCAATTATTTAAATATAATTATTTATATATATATAATCTTTACAACACAGAAATAAATATACCATAGTTTCATAAATATATTATATTATATTGTTTTTAAATATATTGTTTTTTTATTAATAAATAAATTTTAAAATTTGCACTATATTTCTAGATTGTTGATAAACAAGGAAATACAAGATTATTTTCGGAAAGTTCACCAGATTTAAGTGCCAATAATATTGATGAAAACTTTAACATCGAAGAAAATAGTATATCTTCATGCAGTTCAGTCGAACCACGAAGTGAATGCAGCTACACCGACAATGAACAAATACTCAAAGTAAACATTTTTCAAAATTATAAAAATATAAAAGAAAATAATAATATAATATCTTACAGAACAATAAGGTTGATAAATCGCAACAACATAAAAATCTCGACAATTCACTGGGACGTGAATCAGCTTTGAGCGATTATGTTGCGAACCACACAGTACCATTACCTGACTTTTCTGCGCCGCCAACAGAATCTGAAGAGGATGGTATGTTATTACTTACAACTTTATTTGTACGGCATTATATAAAATATATTTTTAGACTTTGTTTCGGTGACCTCTAGTAAGATTGGTGATGCCACCTGGGAAGATAACTGGCTTTTTAGAAAGAAACGCTCATCATTGAGTAATTCTACTTCAACAACTGGATGTGGTATGTTAGTACCTGCACCCACAGAAGATATACGTGCTCAAATTGGTGATAAAACAGCTGATGAAATCAGTGATCTTTCAGAATTTGGTTCAGACACTGATGACTCATCAATAGATTTACTGCATACTAAATCAGTAAATAATCGTGTATTGAATAAACATGTTATCGGTGGTGAAAATACAAAAATGGCACTTGATGAACTAATAGAATGTGCTAGCATAGTTTCAGGCACACTAATAGAAGAAACCGAGCCCACATATACTGAAACAAAAAATGAACAGATTACACAAATTCTATCGACGAAAATGGAGACTTTCAATGAGCACGTGAATAATGTATCAAGCACAAAAGGTGAAGAACTAAAATTAGCAGACCAAATTGAGTGTGAACCCATATCAGGTAAGTCAGAATATTTTTTATTTTCCCATATGTAACTAGTAGTATAGATTCACACTAACATTAGTCTGTAAATTAAAATGAAACATTTTCCTTTCGTGTAAATTGCATAGTTCTATAAGCTAGTTTATCATACATGGAATACCAATCGAGCTTCCAGTAGAATCACAAAATGTCATTTCCAATCGAAGGAATCAAGTATCTTTGCATGATAAAAGAAACGACTTTGAGCTGTCGTTTATGTTTTCAGACTTAAATCAAATCGACTTGTGTGAATCGACTGATTACACTGGATATAGTACAATAGAAATTTTTGATGCAGATCCAAGTGATAATGCATGTGAAGAAACTGAACCTCGGGGTCCTTCAGTTATAGAAATTCTTGCTGCAATAGCACTTGGACCTATGATTGCCATACCTGCTGCGGAACAGGAAACCGTATTAACGCCGAATGAAATTGCATCTTTAAAGGAACTAAGCGATTTAGCTTTATCTGAAATAAATTCACGTTCGACAGAAAGAGTGCACCATACACTAGGTGTAATTCAAGAGGAAATGTCCGATGACGAATGCCAAAAAGAATACATAAAAGAAAGCAAGCATCTGTTATCCCTAAGTGAACTAAGTTCATTTACATCAAAAACAAACATATTTATCGAAGATCAACCAGTTTCTGAAGAGAATGTTCAGCTGCCCAAATACCAAAATATAAATACCGCAGTTACAAATACAGTTTTAGAGGTACAATGTGAAGATGCTGAATTACTGTCTACTTCATCAACAACTGATAATGTAATATGTGTGCAATCTCTTACTGCCGAAAATGTATCTCATAGTAAAGAAGTACAAAACTCAAAGGGGCTCGTTGCAATTGAAATAGAAACAACAATCCCCAAATCTGATATTAATGAAATCTGTGAAAAAAATAACATGAAAGAATCAAATGTATTAGTTCAGAATACAGTTGCAGAAGTACAATGTGAAGAAATTGAATTAGTTTCCTCATTAACAACAACAGAAAACGTAACACATATTCAATCTCCTTCCGAGGAAAATATATCTAATGCTAAAGAACTACAAAATTCACTGAAACTCATTGTAACTGAAAGTGAACCACAAACAAACCAAATTGATAAAGCTGCATCAAATAACAGAGTAGAAGAAGACAACATAATTTGCACAGAAGATGTTCCTGTAGTAACTTCTGAACCGACAATAATATGTGAATCAAATGAATTAATACCAGATACAGTTGCGAAAGTACAATGTGAAGAAATTGAATTAGTATCTTCTTTACCAACAACAGATAATGAAACATGTATTGCACCTGCTTCCGAGGAAAATGTATTAAACGTTGAAGAACTACAGAACTCACCGGAGCTCACTGCATCTAAAACTGAACCACCAATAAACCAAATTGATATAACTGAAACAAATAACTCAGTGGAAGAAGAAAATCTTATTTGCTCAGAAGATGTTCCTGTAGTAACCTCTGAACCGACAATAATCTGTGAATCAAATAATGCAACAGAATCAAATGAATTAGTATCAGATACAGTTGTGGAAGTACAATGCGAGCAAGTTGAATTAGTATCTTCTTTAGCAACAACAGATAATAACACATGTACTGCACCTGCTTCCGAGGAAAATGTATTAAACGTTGAAGAACTACAGAACTCACCGGAGCTTACTGCATCTGAAACTGAACCACCAATAAACCAAATTGATATAACTGAAACGAATAACTCAGTGGAAGAAGAGAATCTTATTTGCTCAGAAGATGTACCTGTAGTAACCTCCGAATCGACAATATTATATGAAGAAAACAACACAATAGAATCAAATGAATTAGTATCAAATACAGTTGTGGAAGTACAATGCGAGCAAGTTGAATTAGTATCTTCTTTAGCAACAACAGATAATAACACATGTACCGCACCTGCTTCCGAGGAATTAAACGTTGAAGAACTACAGAATTCACCCGAGCTTACTGCATCTGAAACTAAACCACCAATAAACCAAATTCATATAACTGAAACAAATAACTTAGTGGAAGAAGAGAATCTTATTTGCTCAGAAGATGTACCTGTAGTAATCACTGAAGCGACAATAATATGTGAATCACATGAATTAGTACCAGATGCAGTTGCGAAAGTACAATGTGAAGAAATCGAATTGGTTTCTTCTTTAGCAACAACAGATAATGAAACATGTATTGCACCTGCTTCCGAGGAAAATGTATCAAACGTTGAAGAACTCCAGAACTCACCGGAGCTTATTGCATCTGAAACTGAACCACCAATAAATCAAATTGATATAGGTGACGCAAACTACTCAAGGGAGGAAGAAAATCTTATTTGCTCAGAAGATGTACCTGTAGTAACCTCAGAACCGACAATAATCTGTGAATCAAATAATGCAATAGAATCAAATGAATTAGTATCAGATACAGTTGTGGAAACACAATGCGAGCAAGTCGATTTAGTTTCTTCTGAAGCAACAACAGATAATAACACATGTACTGTACCTGCTTCCGAGGAAAATGTATTAAACGTTGAAGAACTAGAGAGTTCACCGGAGCTCACTGCATCTGAAACTGAACCACCAATAAACCAAATTCATATAACTGAAACAAATAACTCAGTGGAAGAGGAGAATCTCATTTGCTCAGAAGATGTACCTGTAGTAACCTCAGAATCGACAATAATCTGTGAATCAAATAATGCAATAGAATCAAATGAATTAATACCAGATACAGTTGTGGAAGTACAATGCGAGCAAGTCGAATTAATATCTTCTTTAACAACAACAGATAATGAAACATGTACTGCACCTGCTTCCGAGGAAAATGTATTAAACGTTGAAGAACTAGAGAGTTCACCGGAGCTCACTGCATCTGAAACTGAACCATCAACAAACCAAATTCATATAACTGAAACAAATAACTCAGTGGAAGAAGAGAATCTTATTTGCTCAGAAGATGTACCTGCAGTAACCTCTGAAGCGACAATAATATGTGAATCAAATGAATTAATACCAGATACAGTTCCGGAAGTAAAAAGCAAGAAAGTCGAATTAGTATCTTCTTCAGCAACAACAGATAATGAAACATGTACTGCAATTGCTTCCGAGGAAATTGTATCAAACGTTGAAGATCTACAGAATTCACCGGAACACAGTGTAACTGAATCTGAACTACAAACAAACCAAATTGACATAGCTGAAACGAATAACTCAGTGGAAGAAGAGAAACTAATTTGCTCAGAAGATGTACCTGTAGTAACCTCAGAACCGACAATAATCTGTGAATCAAATAATGCAATAGAATCAAATGAATTAATACCAGATACAGTTGTGGAAGTACAATGCGAGCAAGTCGAATTAGTATCTTCTTTAGCAATAACAGATAATGAAACATGTACTCCACCTGCTGCCGAGGAAAATGTATTAAACGTTGAGGAACTAGAGAGTTCACCGGAGCTCAATGCATCTGAAACTGAACCATCAACAAACCAAATTCATATAACTGAAACGAATAACTCAGTGGAACAAGAGAATCTTATTTGTTCAGAAGATGTACCTGTAGTAACCTCAGAACCGACAATAATCTGTGAATCAAATGAATTACTTACAGATACAGTTGTGGAAGTACAATGTGAAGAAATTGGATTAGTATCTTCTTTAGCAACAACAGATAATGAAACATCTATCGCACTTGCTACCGAGGAAAATGTATCTAATGTTGAAGATCTACAGAATTCACCGGAGCTCACTGCATCTGAAACTGAACCACCAATAAATCAAATTGATATAGGTGACGCAAACTACTCAAGGGACGAAGAAAATCCTATTTGCTCAGAAGATGTACCTGTAGTAACCTCAGAACCGACAATAATCTGTGAATCAAATGAATTAGTACCAGATACAGTTGTGAAAGTACAATGTGAAGAAATTGGATTAGTATCTTCTTTAGCAACAACAGATAATGAAACATCTATCGCACTTGCTACCGAGGAAAATGTATCTAATGTTGAAGATCTACAGAATTCACCGGAGCTCACTGCATCTGAAACTGAACCACCAATAAATCAAATTGATATAGGTGACGCAAACTACTCAAGGGACGAAGAAAATCTTATTTGCTCAGAAGATGTACCTGTAGTAACCTCAGAACCGACAATAATCTGTGAATCAAATAATGCAATAGAATCAAATGAATTAATACCAGATACAGTTGTGGAAGTACAATGCGAGCAAGTCGAATTAGTATCTTCTTTAGCAACAACAGATAATGAAACATGTACTCCACCTGCTTTCGAGGAAAATGTATTAAACGTTGAAGAACTAGAGAGTTCACCGGAGCTCACTGCATCTGAAACTGAACCATCAACAAACCAAATTCATATAACTGAAACGAATAACTCAGTGGAAGAAGAGAATCTTATTTGCTCAGAAGATGTACCTGTAGTAACCTCCGAAGCGACAATATTATGTGAAGAAAACAACACAATAGAATCAAATGAATTAGTATCAGATACGGTTGCAGAAGTACTATCTGAAGAAGTCGAATTAATTTCTTCCTTAGCAATAACAGATAATGAAACATGTATTGCACCTCCTTCCGAGGAAAATATATCAAACGTTGAAGAACCACAAAATTTACCGGAGCTCACTGCATCTGAAATTGAACCATCAATAAACCAAATTGATATAACTGAAACGAATAACTCAGTGGAAGAAGAGAATCTTATTTGCTCAGAAGATGTACCTGTAGTAACCTCCGAAGCGACAATAATCTGCGAATCAAATAATGCAATAGAATCAAATGAATTAATACCAGATACAGTTGTGGAAGTACAATGCGAGCAAGTCGAATTAGTATCTTCTTTAGCAACAACAGATAATGAAACATGTACTCCACCTGCTTTCGAGGAAAATGTATTAAACGTTGAAGAACTAGAGAGTTCACCGGAGCTCACTGCATCTGAAACTGAACCATCAACAAACCAAATTCATATAACTGAAACGAATAACTCAGTGGAAGAAGAGAATCTTATTTGCTCAGAAGATGTACCTGTAGTAACCTCCGAAGCGACAATATTATGTGAAGAAAACAACACAATAGAATCAAATGAATTAGTATCAGATACGGTTGCAGAAGTACTATCTGAAGAAGTCGAATTAATTTCTTCCTTAGCAATAACAGATAATGAAACATGTATTGCACCTCCTTCCGAGGAAAATATATCAAACGTTGAAGAACCACAAAATTTACCGGAGCTCACTGCATCTGAAATTGAACCATCAATAAACCAAATTGATATAACTGAAACGAATAACTCAGTGGAAGAAGAGAATCTTATTTGCTCAGAAGATGTACCTGTAGTAACCTCCGAAGCGACAATAATCTGCGAATCAAATAATGCAATAGAATCAAATGAATTAATACCAGATACAGTTGTGGAAGTACAATGCGAGCAAGTCGAATTAGTATCTTCTTTAGCAACAACAGATAATGAAACATGTACTCCACCTGCTTCCGAGGAAAATGTATTAAACGTTGAAGAACTAGAGAGTTCACCGGAGCTCACTGCATCTGAAACTGAACCATCAACAAACCAAATTCATATAACTGAAACGAATAACTCAGTGGAAGAAGAGAATCTTATTTGCTCAGAAGATGTACCTGTAGTAACCTCAGAACCGACAATAATCTGTGAATCAAGTGAATTAGTTACAGATACAGTTGTGGAAGTACAATGCGAGCAAGTCGAATTAGTATCTTCTTTAGCAACAACAGATAATGAAACATGTACTCCACCTGCTTTCGAGGAAAATGTATTAAACGTTGAAGAACTAGAGAGTTCACCGGAGCTCACTGCATCTGAAACTGAACCATCAACAAACCAAATTCATATAACTGAAACGAATAACTCAGTGGAAGAAGAGAATCTTATTTGCTCAGAAGATGTACTTGTAGTAACCTCCGAAGCGACAATATTATGTGAAGAAAACAACACAATAGAATCAAATGAATTAGTATCAGATACAGTTGTGGAAACACAATGCGAGCAAGTCGAATTAGTTTCTTCTGAAGCAACAACAGATAATAACACATGTAGTGTACCTGCTTCCGAGGAAAATGTATTAAACGTTGAAGAACCACAAAATTTACCGGAACTCACTGCATCTGAAACTAAACCATCAATAAACCAAATTGATATAGCTGAAACAAATAACTTAGTGGAAGAAGAAAATCTTATTTGCTCAGAAGATGCACCTGTAGTAACTTCCGACCCGACAGTAATCTGTGAAGAAAACAACACAACAGAATTAAATGAATTAGTATCAGATACAGTTGTAGAAGTACAATGTGAAGAAATCAAATTAGTTTCTTCTGAAGCAACAACAGATAATGAAACATGTATTGCATCTGCTTCCGAAGAAAATGTATCTAATGTTGAAGAACAACAAAATCTACCGGAGCTCACTGCATCTGAAACTAAACCATCAATAAACCAAATTGATATAGCTGAAACAAATAACTTAGTGGAAGAAGAAAATCTGATTTGCTCAGAAAATGCACCTGTAGTACCTTCCGACCCGACAGTAATCTATGAAGAAAACAACACAACAGAATTAAATGAATTAGTATCAGATACAGTTGTGGAAGTACAATGTGAAGAAATCGAATTAGTTTCTTCTGAAGCAACAACAAATAATGAAACATGTATTGTACCTGCTTCCGATGAAAATGTATCTAATGCTGAAGATCTACAGAATTCACCGGAGCTCACTGCATCTGAAACTGAACCACCAATAAACCAAATTCAAATAACTGAAACGAATAACTTAGTGGAAGAAGAAAATCTTATTTGCTCAGAAGATGTACCTGTAGTAACCTCAGAATCGACAATAATCTGTGGATCAAATAATGCAACAGAATCATATGAATTAGCACCAGATAGTGTTGTGGAAGTACAATGCGAGCAAGTTGAATTAATATCTTCTTCAGCAACAACAGATAATGAAACATGTGTTGCACCTCCTTCCGAAGAAAATGTATCTAATGCTGAAGATCTACAGAATTCACCGGAGCTCACTGCATCTGAAACTGAACCACCAATAAACCAAATTCATATAACTGACACGAATAACTCAGTGGAAGAGGAAAATCTTATTTGCTCAGGAGATGTACCTGTAGTAACCTCAGAACCGACAATAATCTGTGAATCAAATAATGCAATAGAATCATACGAATTAATACCAGATACAGTTGTGGAAGTACAATGCGAGCAAGTCGAATTAATATCTTCTTCAGCAACAACAGATAATGAAACATGTATTGAACCTCCTTCCGAAGAAAATGTATCTAATGCTGAAGATCTACAGAATTCACCGGAGCTCACTGTATCTGAAACTGAAACACCAATAAACCAAATTTATATAGGTGACGCAAACTCCTCAAGGGAGGAAGAAAATCTTATTTGCTCAGAAGATGTACCTGTAGTAACCTCAGAACCGACAATAATCTGTGAATCAAATAATGTAACAGAATCAAATGAATTAGTATCAGATACAGTTGTGGAAGTACAATGTGAAGAAATCGAATTAGTTTCTTCTGAAGCAACAACAGATAATGAAACATGTATTGAACCTGTTTCCGAGGAAAATATATCAAACGTTGAAGAACCACAAAATTTACCGGAACTCACTACATCTGAAACTAAACCATCAATAAACGAAATTGATATAGCTGAAACAAATAACTTAGTGGAAGAAGAAAATCTTATTTGCTCAGAAGATGCACCTGTAGTAACTTCCGACCCGACAATAATCTGTGAATCAAATAATGTAACAGAATCAAATGAATTAGTATCAGATACAGTTGTGGAAGTACAATGTGAAGAAATCGAATTAGTTTCTTCTGAAGCAACAACAAATAATGAAACATGTATTGCACCTGCTTCCGAAGAAAATGTATCTAATGCTGAAGAGCTACAGAATTCACCGGAGCTCACTGCATCTGAAACTGAACCACCAATAAACCAAATTCATATAACTGAAACGAATAACTCAGTGGAAGAAGAAAATCTCATTTGCTCAGAAGATGTACCTGTAGTAACCTCAGAACCTACAATAATCTGTGAATCAAATAATGCAATAGAATCATATGAATTAGTACCAGATACAGGTGTGGAAGTACAATGCGAGCAAGTTGAATTAATATCTTCTTTAGCAACAACAGATAATGAAACATGTATTGCATCTGCTTCCGAGGAAAATGTATTAAACGTTGAAGAACTACAGAATTCACCGGAGCTCACTGCATCTGAAACTGAACCACCAATAAATCAAATTGATATAGGTGACGCAAATTACTCAGTGGAGGAAGAAAATCTTATGTGCTCAGAAGATGTACCTGTAGTAACCTCAGAACCGACAATAATCTGTGAATCAAATAATGCAATAGAATCATACGAATTAATACCAGATACAGTTGTGGAAGTACAATGCGAGCAAGTTGAATTAATATCTTCTTTAGCAACAACAGATAATGAAACATGTATTGCACCTGCTTCCGAAGAAAATGTATCTAATGCTGAAGATCTACAGAATTCACCGGAGCTCACTGCATCTGAAACTGAACCACCAATAAACCAAATTGATATAACTGAAACGAATAACTCAGTGGAAGAGGAGAATCTTATTTGCTCAGGAGATGTACCTGTAGTAACCTCAGAACCGACAATAATCTGTGAATCAAATAATGCAATAGAATCAAATGAATTAGTACCAGATACAGTTGTGGAAGTACAATGCGAGCAAGTTGAATTAATATCTTCTTTAGCAACAACAGATAATGAAACATGTATTGCACCTGCTTCCGAGGAAAATGTATTTAATGTTGAAGATCTACAGAATTCACCGGAGCTCACTGCATCTGAAACTGAACCATCAACAAACCAAATTGATATAATTGAAACGAATAACTCAGTGGAAGAAGAGAATCTTATTTGCTCAGAAGATGTACCTGTAGTAACCTCCGAATCGACAATATTCTGTGAATCAAATAACACAATAGAATCAAATGAATTAGTATCAAATACAGTTGTGGAAGTACAATGCGAGCAAGTTGAATTAGTATCTTCTTTAGCAACAACAGATAATGACACATGTACCGCACCTGCTTCCGAGGAATTAAATGTTGAAGAACTACAGAATTCACCGGAGCTTACTGCATCTGAAACTAAACCACCAATAAACCAAATTCATATAACTGAAACGAATAACTTAGTGGAAGAAGAGAATCTTATTTGCTCAGAAGATGTACCTGTAGTAATCACTGAAGCGACAATAATATGTGAATCACATGAATTAGTACCAGATGCAGTTGCGAAAGTACAATGTGAAGAAATCGAATTGGTTTCTTCTTTAGCAACAACAGATAATGAAACATGTATTGCACCTGCTTCCGAGGAAAATGTATCAAACGTTGAAGAACTCCAGAACTCACCGGAGCTTATTGCATCTGAAACTGAACCACCAATAAATCAAATTGATATAGGTGACGCAAACTACTCAAGGGAGGAAGAAAATCTTATTTGCTCAGAAGATGTACCTGTAGTAACCTCAGAACCGACAATAATCTGTGAATCAAATAATGCAATAGAATCAAATGAATTAGTATCAGATACAGTTGTGGAAACACAATGCGAGCAAGTCGATTTAGTTTCTTCTGAAGCAACAACAGATAATAACACATGTACTGTACCTGCTTCCGAGGAAAATGTATTAAACGTTGAAGAACTAGAGAGTTCACCGGAGCTCACTGCATCTGAAACTGAACCACCAATAAACCAAATTCATATAACTGAAACAAATAACTCAGTGGAAGAGGAGAATCTCATTTGCTCAGAAGATGTACCTGTAGTAACCTCAGAATCGACAATAATCTGTGAATCAAATAATGCAATAGAATCAAATGAATTAATACCAGATACAGTTGTGGAAGTACAATGCGAGCAAGTCGAATTAATATCTTCTTTAACAACAACAGATAATGAAACATGTACTGCACCTGCTTCCGAGGAAAATGTATTAAACGTTGAAGAACTAGAGAGTTCACCGGAGCTCACTGCATCTGAAACTGAACCATCAACAAACCAAATTCATATAACTGAAACAAATAACTCAGTGGACGAAGAAAATCTTATTTGCTCAGAAGATGTACCTGTAGTAACCTCAGAACCGACAATAATCTGTGAATCAAATAATGCAATAGAATCAAATGAATTAATACCAGATACAGTTGTGGAAGTACAATGCGAGCAAGTCGAATTAGTATCTTCTTTAGCAACAACAGATAATGAAACATGTACTCCACCTGCTTCCGAGGAAAATGTATTAAACGTTGGAGAACTAGAGAGTTCACCGGAGCTCACTGCATCTGAAACTGAACCATCAACAAACCAAATTCATATAACTGAAACGAATAACTCAGTGGAAGAAGAAAATCTTATTTGTTCAGAAGATGTACCTGTAGTAACCTCAGAACCGACAATAATCTGTGAATCAAATAATGCAACAGAATCATATGAATTAATACCAGATACAGTTGTGGAAGTACAATGCGAGCAAGTCGAATTAATATCTTCTTCAGCAACAACAGATAATGAAACATGTATTGAACCTGTTTCCAAGGAAAATGTATCAAACGTTGAAGAACCACAAAATTTACCGGAACTCACTGCATCTGAAACTGAACCATCAATAAACCAAATTGATATAGCTGAAACGAATAACTTAGTGGAAGAAGAGAATCTTATTTGCTCAGAAGATGTACCTGTAGTAACCTCAGAACCGACAATAATCTGTGAATCAAATGAATTACTTACAGATAGTGTTGTGGAAGTACAATGTGAGGAAGTTGGATTAATATCTTCTTTAGCAACAACAGATAATGAAACATGTATTGCACTTGCTTCCGAAGAAAATGTATCTAATGTTGAAGATCTACAGAATTCACCGGAGCTCACTGCATCTGAAACTGAACCACCAATAAATCAAATTGATATAGGTGACGCAAACTACTCAAGGGACGAAGAAAATCCTATTTGCTCAGAAGATGTACCTGTAGTAACCTCAGAACCGACAATAATCTGTGAATCAAATGAATTAGTACCAGATACAGTTGTGAAAGTACAATGTGAAGAAATTGGATTAGTATCTTCTTTAGCAACAACAGATAATGAAACATCTATCGCACTTGCTACCGAGGAAAATGTATCTAATGTTGAAGATCTACAGAATTCACCGGAGCTCACTGCATCTGAAACTGAACCACCAATAAATCAAATTGATATAGGTGACGCAAACTACTCAAGGGACGAAGAAAATCTTATTTGCTCAGAAGATGTACCTGTAGTAACCTCAGAACCGACAATAATCTGTGAATCAAATAATGCAATAGAATCAAATGAATTAATACCAGATACAGTTGTGGAAGTACAATGCGAGCAAGTCGAATTAGTATCTTCTTTAGCAACAACAGATAATGAAACATGTACTCCACCTGCTTTCGAGGAAAATGTATTAAACGTTGAAGAACTAGAGAGTTCACCGGAGCTCACTGCATCTGAAACTGAACCATCAACAAACCAAATTCATATAACTGAAACGAATAACTCAGTGGAAGAAGAGAATCTTATTTGCTCAGAAGATGTACTTGTAGTAACCTCCGAAGCGACAATATTATGTGAAGAAAACAACACAATAGAATCAAATGAATTAGTATCAGATACAGTTGTGGAAACACAATGCGAGCAAGTCGAATTAGTTTCTTCTGAAGCAACAACAGATAATAACACATGTAGTGTACCTGCTTCCGAGGAAAATGTATTAAACGTTGAAGAACCACAAAATTTACCGGAACTCACTGCATCTGAAACTAAACCATCAATAAACCAAATTGATATAGCTGAAACAAATAACTTAGTGGAAGAAGAAAATCTTATTTGCTCAGAAGATGCACCTGTAGTAACTTCCGACCCGACAGTAATCTGTGAAGAAAACAACACAACAGAATTAAATGAATTAGTATCAGATACAGTTGTAGAAGTACAATGTGAAGAAATCAAATTAGTTTCTTCTGAAGCAACAACAGATAATGAAACATGTATTGCATCTGCTTCCGAAGAAAATGTATCTAATGTTGAAGAACAACAAAATCTACCGGAGCTCACTGCATCTGAAACTAAACCATCAATAAACCAAATTGATATAGCTGAAACAAATAACTTAGTGGAAGAAGAAAATCTGATTTGCTCAGAAAATGCACCTGTAGTACCTTCCGACCCGACAGTAATCTATGAAGAAAACAACACAACAGAATTAAATGAATTAGTATCAGATACAGTTGTGGAAGTACAATGTGAAGAAATCGAATTAGTTTCTTCTGAAGCAACAACAAATAATGAAACATGTATTGTACCTGCTTCCGATGAAAATGTATCTAATGCTGAAGATCTACAGAATTCACCGGAGCTCACTGCATCTGAAACTGAACCACCAATAAACCAAATTCAAATAACTGAAACGAATAACTTAGTGGAAGAAGAAAATCTTATTTGCTCAGAAGATGTACCTGTAGTAACCTCAGAATCGACAATAATCTGTGGATCAAATAATGCAACAGAATCATATGAATTAGCACCAGATAGTGTTGTGGAAGTACAATGCGAGCAAGTTGAATTAATATCTTCTTCAGCAACAACAGATAATGAAACATGTGTTGCACCTCCTTCCGAAGAAAATGTATCTAATGCTGAAGATCTACAGAATTCACCGGAGCTCACTGCATCTGAAACTGAACCACCAATAAACCAAATTCATATAACTGACACGAATAACTCAGTGGAAGAGGAAAATCTTATTTGCTCAGGAGATGTACCTGTAGTAACCTCAGAACCGACAATAATCTGTGAATCAAATAATGCAATAGAATCATACGAATTAATACCAGATACAGTTGTGGAAGTACAATGCGAGCAAGTCGAATTAATATCTTCTTCAGCAACAACAGATAATGAAACATGTATTGAACCTCCTTCCGAAGAAAATGTATCTAATGCTGAAGATCTACAGAATTCACCGGAGCTCACTGTATCTGAAACTGAAACACCAATAAACCAAATTTATATAGGTGACGCAAACTCCTCAAGGGAGGAAGAAAATCTTATTTGCTCAGAAGATGTACCTGTAGTAACCTCAGAACCGACAATAATCTGTGAATCAAATAATGTAACAGAATCAAATGAATTAGTATCAGATACAGTTGTGGAAGTACAATGTGAAGAAATCGAATTAGTTTCTTCTGAAGCAACAACAGATAATGAAACATGTATTGAACCTGTTTCCGAGGAAAATATATCAAACGTTGAAGAACCACAAAATTTACCGGAACTCACTACATCTGAAACTAAACCATCAATAAACGAAATTGATATAGCTGAAACAAATAACTTAGTGGAAGAAGAAAATCTTATTTGCTCAGAAGATGCACCTGTAGTAACTTCCGACCCGACAATAATCTGTGAATCAAATAATGTAACAGAATCAAATGAATTAGTATCAGATACAGTTGTGGAAGTACAATGTGAAGAAATCGAATTAGTTTCTTCTGAAGCAACAACAAATAATGAAACATGTATTGCACCTGCTTCCGAAGAAAATGTATCTAATGCTGAAGAGCTACAGAATTCACCGGAGCTCACTGCATCTGAAACTGAACCACCAATAAACCAAATTCATATAACTGAAACGAATAACTCAGTGGAAGAAGAAAATCTCATTTGCTCAGAAGATGTACCTGTAGTAACCTCAGAACCGACAATAATCTGTGAATCAGATGAATTAGTTACAGATACAGTTGTGGAAGTACAATGCGAGCAAGTCGAATTAATATCTTCTTTAGCAAAAACAGATAATGACACATGTATTGAACCTGCTTCTGAGGAAAATGTATTAAACGTTAAAGAACTACAGAATTCACCGGAGCTCACTGCATCTGAAATTGAACCACCAATAAACCAAATTCATATAACTGAAACAAATAACTCAGTGGAAGAAGAGAATCTCATTTGCTCAGAAGATGTACCTGTAGTAACCTCAGAACCGACAATAATATCTGAATCAAATGAATTAGTACCAGATACAGTTCCGGAAGTACAATGTGAAGAAATTGGATTAGTATCTTCTTTAGCAGCAACAGATAATGAAACATTTATTGAACCTGTTTCCAAGGAAAATGTATTAAACGTTGAAGAACTAGAGAGTTCACCGGAGCTCACTGTATCTGAAACTGAACCATCAATATACCAAATTCAAATAACTGAAACGAATAACTCAGTAGAAGAAGAGAATCTTATTTGCTCAGAAGATGTACCTGTAGTAACCTCAGAACCGACAATAATCTGTGAATCAAATAATACGAAAGAATCAAATGAATTAGTATCAGATACAGTTGTGGAAGTACAATGCGAGCAAGTTGAATTAGTATCTTCTTTAGTAACGACAGATAATGAAACATGTATTGCACTTGCTTCCGAAGAAAATGTATCTAATGCTGAAGATCTACAGAATTCACCGGAGCTCACTGCATCTGAAACTGAACCACCAATAAACCAATTTCATATAACTGAAAGGAATAACTCAGTGGAAGAAGAAAATTTTTTTTGCTCAGAAGATGTACCTGTAGTAACCTCAGAACCGACAATAATCTGTGAATCAAATGAATTAGTACCAGATACAGTTCCGGAAGTGCAATGTGAAAAAATTGAATTAGTATCTTCTTTAGCAGCAACAGATAATGAAACATGTATTGAACCTGTTTCCGAGGAAAATGTATTAAACGTTGAAGATCTACAGGATCCACCGGAGCTCACTGTATCTGAAACTGAACCATCAATAAACCAAATTCAAATAACTGAAACGAATAACTCAGTAGAAGAAGAGAATCTTATTTGCTCAGAAGATGTACCTGTAGTAACTTTTGAAGCGACAATAATATGTGAAGAAAACAACACAATAGAATCAAATGAATTAGTATCAGATACAGTTGTGGAAGTACTATCTGAAGAAGTCGAATTAGTATCTTCTTTACCAACAACAGATAATGAAACATGTACTCCACCTGCTTCCGAGGAAAATGTATCTAACATTGAAGAACCACAAAATTCACCGGAGCTCATTGCATCTGAAACTGAACTATCAATAAACCAAATTGATATAGCTGAAACGAATAACTCAGTGGAAGAAGAGAATCTTATTTGCTCAGAAGATGTACCTGTAGTAACCTCTGAACCGACAATAATCTGTAAAGAAAACAACACAATAGAATCAAATGAATTAGTATCAGATACAGTTGTGGAAGTACAATGTGAAGAAATCGAATTATTATCTTCTTTTCCAACAACAGATAATGAAATATGTATTGCTCCTGCTCCTAAAGAAAACGTATCTAATGCTGAAGATCTACAGAATTCATCGGACCTCACAGCATCTGAAACTAAACCATCAATAAACGAAATTGATGTAGCTGCATCAAATGACTCAGTGGAAAAAGAGAATCTTATTTTCTCAGAAGATATACCTATAGTAACCCCTGAATCAACAATAATATGTGAATCAAATGAATTAGTTACAGATACAGTTGTGGAAGTACAATGCGAGCAAGTCGATTTGGTATCTTCTTTAGCAACAACAGATAATGAAACATGTATTGCAATTGCTTCCCAGGAAAATATATCTTTTGTTAAAGAATTACAAAATTCACCGGAGCTCAATGTTACTGAAACTGAACCATCAACAAACCAAAGCAACATAACCGAAACAAATGACCCAGTAGAGGAAGAGTACCAACTTTGCTCTGAAGTTGTGCCTGTAGAATCCGTTAAACCGGCAATAGTATGTGAAGAAAATGACACAAAAGATTCTAATGTGTCAGTACCTGATGCAGTTGTGGAGGTACCATGTAATGAAACCGACTTGCTAATGACTTTAAACACAGATCTTGCTCCATGTTTTCAACATTCTTCTGAAAACCACGCACACTCCGAAGTACTAAATACAACTGAAGTTTCAGTTTTAACCGGAACTATACTATCAACGGAACAAATTGTTATGAATGAAACAACTAACTCAGTGGAGAATAGCAATTCGCTTTACCCTATGGATGTACCTGCAGATACTCTTAAATCGTTTGATCTAAATCTTAATAATGTTGAGAGATCAGCTGAAGAAATTGGTGTAAGTGGGGGAAATAACTCTGTTGATCAGAGTTCTGCTCTTTGTTTGGAAAGCACACTTTTAGAAACATCTTCTGAAAAACATAAACGAATGGTAGTTTCGGATGCAGCTGAAGAAGTAAATAACGAATTACCGGAAACTTATTTAGGATTAAATATTGAATCTTCTACTGATGATATTGCACAAAAAGGTATGCTGTCTCTTATAACAGCAGATTTTAGTGGAACTGAAGAAAAGTGTTCACAGGGACAAACTGCATTGGTTAAAGAAGAAAAATTTGTCAATGATCATGAAAGGCTAATAGGTGGAGATTTTTTGATAACTGAAGATAAGCAAGTCATTACAATGGAGCAAACAGAGCAAGGTATTAATGACGGCGAAATATTTGATAAATTATCAACCTTAAAATTGAATGCAATTAATGATGTTCATTTAATGATAAACAAATGCAAACCAATTAATAATTTAAGACTGGAACTACCGTCACAAGGAAATGAACTCAATCATTCGAAATCAAGTTCGATTATAGATTATAAATTGGGAGCAATCACTTTTCCAAATTTAGACAAAACAGCTTCTAATAAGCCAAAACGTTTGCAAAAGCAATCGCATGTTTCGGACACAACACCGAGTAATGATGTGTATGTTAAAAACAATGTCTTATCCTTGGCTTCCATCTGCAAATTTTATATTAAAGATAAACGTTTGTTAAAATCTATTGAGAAACGGCATAGTCAAACATTACTTATGCAAAGATACCTAAGTTCCTTTGATTCGCTCGACTCCTCACTTACTCAGTCTAATGAGAATCTGCATTCAGAATACTCAGAACACTTAATCCCATATAACAATAAGCACTTTAAAGAAGATTTCAATGAATGTAATTATAACTTCATTAATGAAATTATTTTCTCAGATCACCTAAGTTCTGATTCAAATTGTACAGATGAAAACGCACCAACATATGTTGACACACTTCTCGCTAATTCCGATGTGCACGAAAAACATAATAACACATTAACTTCCAGAAGAATCATTAACACTAATAATGTTACTAACATTAACATGACTAACGGCGATCATTTGAACTCCACTCAGCACAATAAATGTACTACGGTTAACATAGATCAACGAAGCGATGATGGATCAAACATAAAAATAGACGATAGCGAGGATGATGGTGTTTTTCTTTTAAAAAGTTTTGTGCCAGGTAACATTACCAGACCAAGGTTAACCTCACTCGGTGTTGTGTTCAAGCATTGCACTTATTTAATATATACTTTTAATTTGCTTTAATTGTGATATTGCTAACCTTCTGTGTTTATTATTTATATTCTATTATTTTGAAATAATATTATTTTCCCCAACATATTTAAGTAGCCCTGAATATTATATTGCAGGATCCATAGCCGAGCGCGAATATAAAAAATGGAACAATGCAGTTGATATGCCAAATAATCCATACGCACCTGAGGCATTGAAAAGACGCATCAGCGGTAGTCAAGAACGGTTCTTAGATTTACCAAATATAAGCCCTAGTTCTGAACAATGTCCTATTGAACTATTAAAAAGTGAAAAGGTGGACTCTGATGGTGGAAACGATTACAAAAGGTAAGTTAGAAAACTATTTTTGTTTGAACTGTACTTAATATTCAGAGTTATATCTTTACATTATTTTACGGAATCATTTTCTCATCCAACTAATCGATGGTGATCACAACCTCTATCGCCATTGTCCAGTTAAATTTGCTATTTGCTGTGAATTTAATATATAAATGTTTTTTAGCGATTTGTCGATGGCATCTGATCGGTTTAATTTTGACTAAATGTATTCACCTTACATATTAAACAGAATTAATAGAGTTAACACATATTATTATGGTTAGGGGTAGATTAAAATACGATCCAGTAATAATAAAGGCAGTCAGCCAGTCAGTAATTGAGAGAGTCCTGACCACATAATTAGAGACTGTATAAGATTCGTAGATACTAGACAAAATCTAGAGACACTAATTGGGGAATCCAGCCCTTCTACTATGGTAATGCAGATGTTGGCAAGCATCGAAGAATGGAGCTTTTACAAGAGCATAATCTCTAGAACAATAAATACTGTTAGAGCGGACGAAATACTTAGTACACAATCGGAGTGAATGCACGCTAAGTGCTCTTCTAACCTGCCCTGTGAAGGAATACCTTAATTGGTCGTACTGCAGGGATTTTCAGGATTTTGAGTTGAGAATGTAGGGGACTTTTTAGTCCGTAGGCATGTATGACTCAATTTGAGTCGTGCATGAATCGGGCATGCAAATGGTACGGGCCATTTGTATCTTTTGAAGATTTTTCCCCCAGGTCCGATACCAAAAAAAAAAAAAAAAAAGCCAGTCAGTAATAAATTTGAACGCCAAAAAACGAAAAGCAATATAATTTTTACATTAGTCAAATTTTTAGGTCTCGGCATTAATAGAGCAAAATGAAGAAATAACATAAATTTTAAATGTTTCATGAATACTATAGACGTTACTATGCGTTCGAAAAAATAAACAATATTATCATAGACGAAAATATTAGTATTAAATATCCGAAGCTTTGATAATTCTCTGAATATTGCCAATATTATTTTTATAATTATTCTTATAATAGATTTTAGATATTATTCTTATAATAGATCTTTCTAAGTGTAGTATATTCTATATATACTATATATATACATATGTACTCTTAAGCCCTTATAGTCCTTAAAGCTATCGGTCACGTATTCCTATAAAAACTCAAAATAAATTGATATAAGATTATTACCGATACTTATATAAGCGATAATCAAAGCCTTGCATTCTCCATACTTTAAATCAATATACATTTATATATTGTGTATATAAAATAGATATTTTTTGAATAGAATATTATTATATTCTATTCGAAATTCAGCTTTATGAATTCTTTTTCTATAATGATAAAAAACATATTTCATTATTTATTTTTGTATTTACAGATATTGCCGTGATTATTACGTAAATAATATTACTACAAACTGTTCAGTATCAAATACAAAATGTTCATCACCCACTTTATCATATGAGGGGCAGAATGAAGAAGAGATCGTTATAAATGAGGTAAATCCCATGAATGACAACATAAAATGTGCAAGTAGTGCAAATTTAAAAAGAAATAATAGCGCTAATCATTGGACCCTTTCCACTCCAGTGCGTCGTAGCAGTTCCTTAAAATTCATTAATAATGCTACATCACCAAGTAGAATATCACATTTCAGCTCAACCATAAACACAACTCCCAATATTACGACCAAATCACAACATTCACTTCTACAGCTACCACCACGTTCATCCACTTCAGCATCTCATTATCGTGATAATGTTGATGATGCTGATGACGACAACAACATGGACGATAATGCGGACATATGTTCGCTGCGTTCGTGGAAAAGTGCCTCAGCTAATTTTATAACTGCATTACCAAAACGATGTACACTCTCCTCCTTAAGTGTTAACAGTTCTGCTAGTGGTGCATCACTTAATTCCTCCAACACCCAAAAACGTACCATACCCAAAGCTAACATTTTGTCACAATTCGAAAAACAATTGCTGCACAAGGACATGAAAAGAAATAGCTTCCGTGCTGTCTCAGCTAGCACAAAAGATTTTGTTATGAATCCATTATATGATCGAGATCAATTCTATGGCACAAATGGTAAACCAAAACTATCTGTAAAGGCAGATGATGATCAAGTAGACTCTGGTATAGATAGTTGTCTAAATGGTTTTAGTGGAAAAGATATAAAAAATCAAAGCAACAATAGCTTGCTATTTTAATATTTTAAACAATTAAAAGCTTTTAATTAACAAAACAATTTGTACAGAAATAAATTTAAATAATTAGTAAGCATTTTATATATTATTTTGTAAATAAATCCTTATTATTTACTAGTCAAATTTAATTTCAGTTTTAAATATTAGATTGAAAGCATTTCTGAAGAAAGAGAATAGGATTTTAATTGTTATTTGTCTTAAAGATTTAGTCATTATTATGGTCAGAAATATGTTAAAAGTATAAATTGTTTGCTTAAAAAATATATTAGCTATTATAGTCATCTTTGCACTTATAAGAAAACTTTAAAATATATAAATAAAATTTTTAATTATATGATATTTGGAAAACGTTAATAAAATTATACGAAAAAATGTCTAAAAAATACAACTATTTTATACTTCTATTATAAAATATAGTCGTATAGCTATTGCAGCCATTATTGTTTGGCTTAGGAATTAGAAAAAATAAAACAGTTCATTCTACAAATGTTAAATCTCAGCTAAGCGAACCAACATTCTCATAAACAGACATTTATCTATCTTAATCGTTTTTATTATTTTCATACTGTCCTCTTAACTGGACAGAATTGCTGGTTCTATCGATGTTCGTTTAAGAGAGTTTCCACTGTAATTACATGATATTATAAATGATTAATGCATACGTACGTTATGATCTGCGGTTTTTGTAATATTAACAAAGAGATTTTTTTATAGATTTAAAGTTAGATACTTACAGTTCCTGACAAGAATATTCGCAGAAAAAAATTGTAAATAGTGGTTTCTCATTGTGAACAATCACTACCCCTTTTTTCATTTTAAATGTCAATAAAAATAAAAAAATATTCCTTTTCTACATAACACTTAAGAACTTAAATATGTATCATAATAGCACTCCATTCTTGCCAATTTTTTCCTTTATTTCTGCTGACACCTACACTGCGTAAGTCATTGTTCACTCCACCTATCTATTTTCTGCGTGTTTCTACTGTTCCTTATAATCTGTCGTCTAACATTCATTTATTATAATTATGACATTTTAGATAAAACAGAAATTACTTAGATCTTAGATAATTAACATATTATCCTCCTCTGACAGATTTTAGTCGTAAAATAGAAACAAACCAACTAAGTTAGTTATATCTGCTTATTGGTATATATATAATTAGTATGATGCCTACAATTGTTGAGCAAATATGAAAATACTTCATCAGGTATTATCTTACTATGCTTTTACACAAATAATATAATTTAAGTTTTTAAACAATGTATTATTATTATTGTCATTGTGAGTAATTTGATTTCAAAAATTTAATACAAACATCACCAACATAAATATATATAAATATGTATATATGTTGGCGCTATATATTCCAGTCGAAGCATAGGTAAGTAGACAGGATAGCGTAGTAGGGATAGAATTTCTAACTTATCAGCTAACAAACTTAGACCAAATCAACCTATTACGTTAAGATGCCAGTAAGACTTCTAAAATATTATGTTTCGATAAATGTTTTAAACCAAAGCTTGGGATGCAGAGGAAATTTTAATAACGTCTCCTATACGAATTTTTATAATATATATAAGCTTATAACAATTCACGCTGGCTTTCTGTGATTTAAAGTGCGCCCATATTGCCTAAGTCCATTGACTTACGCAATATGATATTTCAATCCATTGAAGAACCATTTTTGTAAAGTTATTATAAATTTATAAATTGTTGAAGATGTAGTATATTCAACCTAAACATTGCTTTAGGAAAGCATAAAAAGCAATATGACCCATAACCAATTGCAACTGAATCATATCTTAGGCCCCATTAAGTAATTAATGCGTTGGTTCTTACAAATAATGTGCACAGGCTTTTTATATACCGCCATGCTTTCCGTGGCAAGCTTAGATTAATTGGTTAGGCAGCTAATGGTCCTTTCAGTGTTGAACCGGCTAAAATGCAGTTTTTATTTGTATGGAATCCGGACTCAAACCAGTTTTTTGCTATAGACACAGGAAGTCTTTGACATTTAAACTGAAATGTGATGGTCAGCATTTATAAAGATATTTGAATAGTATTAATATATTATAAGTGTTATAAAATATATTATTGATAGCTATTCAAATTTAGCTACGTATCGACTAGCTTAACATGATAATACTTGAGAAACACACAGATCCCAGAGCCATAACATAGGAAAGATTGATCGCTGATGTTAAAAATGCGGAGACATAGTAGATTGATATGTCACGTGACTCCAAACCTGCCATGGGCAGTAGAAAGCATAATGTAGTATAATTTTATTGCTATTATTTTTCAATGTTAATAAATTCACAGACTTTCAAATATTTCTGAACCATATACATTGACATGCAATTAAACTAAATTTCTTTGATTTTTTTTATTGAGGTATTTTAAGATTTTATTAAGAATCTCTCTTATATTCATTTTATCTTTTATGTGCCTTTAAATACGAAATATCTAGATTCATTTAGATATACTTATATACTCTTATTTATAGAATAACACTTGTGCCATTAACAGTGTAACAAATTTAAATGATAGTTCAAGTTATTTTATCAAAGTTTTAAGTTTCAAAATTTGACGCTTTCGACTAACAATTTTTGGGGCGTGGCAATTACTTTTCGAATTTGCAACAAAATGTTTCCAAATCCTCAATTCAGCAAATATTTTATGTCAAATAAGTGGCAAAATTTATTTTAAACTCTGCAGGATATGCAAAAAAAAAGTTAAATTTTTTTTCTAAATTTATAAAGTTTAAATAATTTAAATAATTTAACATTGAAATATATTTTTCTTTTATTTTGAGTTTTTATTTTAGTTGCAAGTACGTATTTTAGCCTGGAGTTTTTTATATTGAATTGTCATTTAATTAATTAATATTTTCATCTTTATTTTATTTATTTTAATGCTCGTGCTTTTTATTTATAAACTGTATAACAAATGCACAAAATAGTTTATTTTATAATGCAAAATTCAATTAATATGTGTGAATAGTTATTAGCTAATATTTTGTTTATTTTTTAAAAATTTCATTATTTGTACAATAAAATTTTAAATATTTTAAATGAAAATCCAAAGAATATTAAGCAGTTTTTAGTCAAATTTGTGGCAAACATATTTGCATGTCCATTTGGTAAGTAAAAATAACAAAAAAAAAATTTTTTAAATAAAATAGTTCTCTGTAGTATTCCATTTTCCAAGATACAAATATGTTCTAACTTTTCATTTCTGTTAAAAAGTCTTAGTTATTATTAATTACGTGAGGACTAAATAATGACTTCTTCGCAATATTTTTTGGGGAATTCCATTTTCGACGATAATAATATATTCTAACTTTTCATTTCTGTTAAAAAGTCTTAGTTATTTTGTTCCAAAAAATAATTATAATTTTTGTATACTTTATTAATTAAACGAAGACTGAATAATGACTTCTTGTTTCAACCGACCTACTTTATATAGACAAAATCTTTATAAAATCAGCATCGATAATGTGACAGAACGTCATCACTGTCTAAAACAAAAAACATGTTATATAACTACACTCTAGGGCTCTAGGGTAAGAGTATACTGTAACAAAAACTTTTCAGGACATCTAATCAAAACAGAAATTTCTCTAGTAAAACCATTCTAACATACTTCTTCTTAAATCTTGACCTACTTTACAATACTCCTCAAGTCCTCACAGTGTCTTACAACTGCTTTGCAATCATTAACATCAAGTCAGCGGAAACATCTCATCTTTATTTCTCCATTATAGCAAAAGAAAAACATAAGGAATCTTAATAAGTATAGTTGTGGTGTCACTGTTACAGAATCAGTAACTTAGCTAACTCTCCAAGACTTTATATGACCTTCAAAAATCCTAATTCTAGTATTTTTTCTTCTTTGATATGATGCTGCTTTCATTATTATGGGATTAGCAACCCTCCTGTTAAAGTTTCCTACACACAGATAGTTGATTGCAATTCGGTTTAAATTCACAGCTTTACATTTCGGGATGGGTATTAGGCCCTGTTGCGTCAATAAAAAGTAGTATAGAACCTATTTTACAGAGTTTTATTGCCTCTTCCCATGAATATTCCCAGGAATCTATTTCGTATGTGCATTCGCGCAGGGCATTCTTTCATGTGTGGCTGACTCTTCATTCTATTCGCAGAATTTACAGTTTGCATCCGTATGTATACTTATCTTTTCTATCTGCCATATGAACATTAAAGGCAGTACTCACTGCCCATTTATAATTGCTGTCCACAGCAATTTGGTTCAAAGTAGATTGCTTATTTGTTCAAATTTTTCAAAATTCATACTTTATACGGTGTAAAGTAGATAGGGTGGAAGTACTTTTTAGGATCTAAATATCTCTAGTCATTCGTTCTTATTAAAATATGCTATTAGTGATAGTGCAGTATATAGAAAAGAAAGAATTGATTGAATATATACTATATCTTTTAAATGTGTAATTCATGTATTTTTAATAGATTATTAGTAAAACTTTAACATAAATTTATTTATCGCTGACTAACGTCATTTTACTAAAAAAAATAATTTCTAACTTAACTCTAACCATTTTTAAAAATTTTGTGATTTTTTACTATTTTTTGAATGCTTAATAATATTTATTTAAAATCTTCTACTTATTTTCTATAATTATTATTACTACTACGTAATTCTTTACTATAGTCTTATTATTATTGCATGATATTTATAACTGGTAATTCTAAATATTTAAAATTAATACTTTAAACTAAAGCTATCGTTCGTAAATAGTGTTTATCTATTTTAATTTATATATTCGACTAAATTAACAATCTTTGATTAGTGGGCTATATCATTTACGTAATTTTAATAATTAATTAAAGTTAAAATATACTTTATATTAACATTAGCAATTATTTTATGCTTCGGGCCTAGTTTTAAGTTATTACTTCCTTCATGAAATATAGTTTATAATAATATATGCATAAGTATTGACGGTTTTTTAAAAAAATTTCAGTATCCTTTTAAATCATTCATGATAATATATTATTTTTATTTAATTATATGATAAAAAAAAGTAGCAGTAAACATTCCATTTCAAAATTAACGTTATATATTAAACTGTAAGTGCCTTTTACTAACAAATTAATGGGTTTATGTTTTTTATGCATTCTTCTATTTTCATATACAAACAAAACACTCAAAAAAAACAAAAACAAATAATACTACATTTTCAAAATAACAATTTCAAACTGCTTATAAAAAATGCTTTTAATACTGCACTGTAAGCAGCCAGCAAAAGTATCTGATTCACAAGCTAACGCTACCACTCAGTTAATATCTGAGACTGGTATTTATCAAGCTGTACCTGCCCAAGCGGTGGTGGAAGACCATGCCTCCATTGAAACCTATTCGACTCCATCAATGCAATCATTAAACACAATCACAAGTAGCGATGATTCGGATACAGTGCGTGTCTATGATTTTAATAAACAGGAAACCATCAAAATTCGTCAAGAAATCAAAGAAAAAAGTGCAGCAGATGCAGTTGTTGCAGATACAATTGAAACAGCTACTGAAGCTTCAACTGCAGGTCCGATAGCTAAGAAACCCCGTCCTACGGAATTAGCAATTCAAAGTAATACTAATAATGCTAATGCTAATACTAATGCTGCAGCTAATTCAGAAACACCATCTTCTCCGACCACACCGGTCGTAACGCCTGCTAGAGGCAGTACACCAACAGCTTTTAAATTCTTACAACCAAAACGAAAACTTATAGATCCTAGTCAAGTATTATCCTTCGATGAGGACATGCCAGTAAGTATTCACCTACAAGCTTGTTAATGCAATAATACAATCATTCATTTAATGCAATCATTTAAATCATTTAATTATTTTTGTTTTTCAGGAAGAACCTCTAGAAAAACCAGAAGAAAAGCCTGTTATTGAAGAGGATGTTGCTCGTGCATTGCCGTCAGTTAAAGCACTAGCACGTGCATTTATTTTGGCATCAAATAAAAATACTAAAACTGATAAACGTTGGCCTATGGTAAGTTATTATAAACAGCGGACTATAGTGATATTATTCAAGCTAATATTTACCAAAGTTTTTGTTGTTAATTTTATTATAATTAGTTAGATATATGTACTAATATATATGTACATATGTACTTAAGCTATAGGGGGTTTATAACGTATGGTCTATAAACACGCTTAAAAATTCTTGATAGCTTTGTCTCAAAAATAGATCTTCAAGCACTCCTTAAATTCATAAAATGTTTGTTACAGGCTTATATATTACATATTCTTATATGTTATCGGTAGAGATGAATAGGTCTAAATGTCGCTAACAGCTAACATCTATATTAGATATAGCTAGGTTTACGGAATTGCCCTTTAATTCAGACAATCAAGAGCTACTGATGCCATTTATATGATTTAACATTTAGAAAAATAGATCTTTTTTAACATAAGCATAAATAATAAGCAATTAATTTGTTATTTTTATTTATTTTAGCCAAAAACAACAAAAAATACTCTTTCACCAGCACCAATTAATAAACTTGAAACTAGTCCATCAGTTGCGGAAATCGCTGAAGATGCAACAATATCCTCAGATTTATCTTCACTCGAAACGTAAGTTTTACATGTTTAAGAATAAATTGAGTAATATATTTATGTTTATATATAATTTCTTTATTTATATATTAGTGACCCACCTACAAGTAAGGAAGTGGAAGAAGCTATTGAAACGGTGGCAGAAGCAGTTATACTTAATGATCATGCTAAAGAAAATGCGTCACCAGTGCCGGCAACTGATTCCACATCTGGCAAATCGAATGCAGCACGCAAATTTCGCTCTGGTTTCCTCAGAAGTAATATTGCTTTCTTTGAAAACTTAAAGTTTAAGTGAATATTACTAAATTCCTTCTAATGAAATGAGTACAAGTTAAAAACAAAAAAAAAAATTTTAAAAATTTCACGATTTTGTTATACAAAATTATAAAAAATTTTATTAAAGCGTATTTGACCATATATTGAAAAAGCTGAAGTGCCATCACGTTTGAAAACGTTTGAGGATAAAGGATCCCAGCCCAGTGAGATTCATGTGCCTATGTTAAATCTTCTATAATTTTTAATTTATGTTGTTATAAATTTTATTTATTTTTGTTTTGGTATTAAAAAAAGAAAAAGTAAGTTTTGCTTACTTCAATATTAAATATTTTTGTGCAGAAGTTTTCTTCAATTTTGTTAAAGTATCAGTTTATATAATACTTTTTTCTGCATTGGAATTTATTATTATTATTATTATTAATTATTAAATTAAGTTAATTAGTCACATTATAATAATTTTATAATTTTACTAAACTAATAAAGTTTTAATTTATTAACTTATTAAATTAATGTTAATGTATTTATATCATAATAATTGAGTTCTTAACTTAAGCTGTTGGCATTTACAATCAATTTTATAGTAGATATCAATAGGATTAATAACTTAAAACATAAAAATAATAAGTCCTAATGTATTAAATATCGGAATCGATACTTTTTGGTTTAGTCCTTAGAGTACATTCGAGGTCTGCTGAACTATTTGTGCAAACAAATAATTCTACAAATGAAAAATATTACGAAAAAATTAAGTTTCGAGAGAATATTTGAAATCTATTTAAAAATTTTTGAAATAATAACATTTGTCCTAGGAGTAAAGTCCTTGAAAAGACAAGAAAGAAGATTTAATAGCACGTTTTATAAAATATATCGTATTTACAGTGCCTGCTTATGTTTGGGACTGCGTTGTTTTATTTTTGTATTTCTTACTATTTCCTTTATAGTGCTTTTTAATAACCGTGTACCAGATAAGTTATTGGATCAACAGGACGTATTTATGATTGTACTGCGGTCTATTGCTGTGTTTTTATCTCTATACATCTTACTTTATATCATCAACATCAAAATTTCAAAGAAAAATGGTACTTTCATGTTTGTGCAGCTCATAGATATTTTAAAAATAATGAGTCTTAAGTACAATTTCGAACATAAAATATCAAAGAAGTACATATTTTACTTGATCGTAAGATTTCTATTGAACCTTATAGTTTTCGTGTGTAAAGTGACAGCTAATTACGAAATATTAATTTTCAACATATTTCTTCCCTATTACACCATCATGTATGAATTATTATTTTATTTAATATTTTTCTGCTTTACTTCAATTGTGATTTTCTACATAAATTTAAACCAAATTCTGCAGAAAAAGGATTTATATACACCTAAAGTCACAAACCTTTTACACTTATTGACTATCGAAGAGCAAATACGTAAACTATATACACGCTTTTGGAAACAAGTGATGCACATGTTCCAACTTTGCATTCTGTTACGCCTGGTGATGTGCACTTATGATATCTATGTGGACTTCAATTGTCTCTATGCCGCAGTTCATAACACACAACGTAGAAACCTTAAACACATTTGGTATTCCGTACCGTTTATCTTAAATCACTTGACTGAAATGATTATTATTGCAACATGGAAAGATATTCTTGAACAAGAACAGACACTTTTCCAAAGCAATTTAATGTTAATGAATGGAATCCAACAGGACATAGATGGCTACAGTAATCCACAAGAGTTGGTAAAAATTTATATATTATATATATATTAATTTATACATTTATATATATATATTAAAATCTAACAAAAACTTTAATGATTTTGTCTAAGGAAGTTATGGAATAAAATATAATATAACAGGGGTCTGGAATACCAGTACGGCCATAATAGATCTTTTGTAGTAACAACAGAAATCGTGAATGTCAACATGTGAACAATATATTTATGCAAAAAACTAAATATTTTGGGGTTTGTACGATATTTTAGGCGCCGTAAAGTTAAAGTAGGTACATATTTGCATTGATTACATTGAAAAGCCAGGTACCGATAACAAGTAAGTAAACTTTTTGTATCGATTACATAAACAAAGATTAATAACAACTAGAAGCTTCATCAATGTAAGCAACTAACCACTTCAAGCCCCGGTATTTCTACAGTATAGTTGTAGAATTTAAACATATAACATAGAGGAAAAGGTTGCTAATTTGTTATCAAAACAACATACCATCCAGCTGCTTCAACGAAGTCTTAACCTGCTTGGGCGTAACTAATGTATCGGTGCTAATGGGCACTGCGTATTAGGAAGATATACTGTAAGACTGGTTCTAGTCTACAATCATTTTGGTCGGGATTGTGGAGAAAACTGTAGTCATGTGACACATATGTTAGTGTCCATTGCTGTCATTCTGCAAAGTTAGTGACTTAGACAAGTTTGTAGTTTTGTCAGATTGGCCCATTTTCACTTGAATGGAAGAATTTTGCCTTACAGCGTTGTTCATACACTGACCACTGCGGTCTTTTTAAAAAACTTTCTAGTGTTCGCATGAACAACGCTTATCGGTGGTATCATAACCGACCATTATTTAACCTCAAGCGGGCTTTATCCACAAAATCACCAGTCCAATCCAACCTAACCTAATATAATAATAAGCTCGAGCAGAGAGAACCATGGGGAAAATATCCATATATATCCATATAATACAAGAATTTTAAGAATTTGGTAGTATTGCTATAACCTTAAAATAACATGACTTACTACTGTAATTAATTGAACTAAATTTTATTAATAATAAAAATCATGTTTTACATTTTCAGATAAAACTTTCGTTGATATTCACAAAAACTTACACAATTTTTATTTCATCATCATTTGATATATTCAACATAAAGCGTGTTACATATTTGGATTTCATAGCTATAATACTTGAATTCACAATACCACTAATGCAACTTTACGTTGGTAAAACTAAGTTCAACTATTATCCCAATCAATGTTTTTTACCTTCACCCAGTTAATTAATTCAAAAATGTGTGATTCGAAAATATCACACTACATACGAATCTACTAAATTGAAATCAATTACCAAATTAAACTCTTTACTACACTCATATACATTAAAATAAACAAAAGTCAAAGTACCAGATATATGGTATATAAAATGCAAATACCTAAAGCGACTATATTTATAAGAGATTTTGGATTGTACCTTCATCTTAAGCCGATAATAGTAAATATCGCTGTAATCGATGTTTTTGCAGAGGTGGACCGAACTCGAAGCAATTTATCTCCACAAATATTGACAACAGCAATCCCACATATAACCCAAGTATCAAGGGTTGTAGAAGCATACAGATTAAGACAAACATGAACTGCCATTATTGGAATAGTTTTAATGGCATGGTATCCGTAGTCAGTGGCCACATACGAGATATCTTGAAACAACTAATGGGTTTATAAATTGCAACCTTCATCTGATAAGACAATGAGTAAAGCAATAATCACACTACAATAGCGATAAATATGGCATACCGTTAATATGTGATCTTTGCTGTGCCAAAAGTAAAGGATTAAGTGTAGAAGTTGTAACTGGAAGGATTTAAAGATACATTACGCGAATTTCTATCTAAATAGTACGTAATCAATGCCCAAATCTTCACTAATGCCCAAATCTCTTATACTTTAAAATAGTGTACTTATTTAGATAAAAAACTGTTTAAACGCACTAAAAATATAGAAACGGCCAATGAAGAAATCAAATAAATACTTTAATCTTAATAGAGATTTTTTCAAGACTAAGAAAAAAGTGTCTTGATTTCTTTCCACAAACCTATTTTCTATTACGGACGTGTGCAAATTCGAGTAAATTGATGGTAAATTAAGGGAAATAGTAAATTATGTCGGTATGACAGCGAATGTTGGTATTTACCAGAATTTCAAGTCGGGTACATTAGATAAAAATTAGGTAAATTAGGTATTATCATTGTAAAAATGTTATAAGATGTTTAATAAATAAATAAATAAATTTGAACTCTTTTAACCAAAAATAATAAATAAGTGCAATAAATAAATAATAATAAATAAAGTGCAATAAGTCCCTAGGATATTTTAATTAACTTTACCTCAATTTACTTGAACTCGCACACATCCTACAGAAATTTTTAAATTTTATTGATTCAATTTTACTTGATTCAATGTTTACAGTATCTCCAAGGATTAATGAACTACTAACCCATATACATATGTTAATATTCACGTGAATTTCCTGTCTCTAATCAATATATTGATAGACATTGCTTTCTTAAATTAATTTTGATAATAACATTAATAACTTGGAGCATAAAAATAATTAGTCCTAATATGCTGTTGAAATTTCAGAATCGATACTTTTGTGTTCAGTTCTTGAGGCGCAGTCAATGTCTGCTTTATTATATGTGGGAACAATAAATATTTAAAAATGGAAAACTTAAAAAAAAAATTCAGTTTTGAAAGAGCATTTGAAGTGTATTTAAAATTTTTTGATGTGACAACTTTTATTTTGGGTGTAAAGTCATTGAGAAGTCAAAGAAAAAGATTTAATACAACTTTTTATATAATATACGGTATTTATAGTGCGCTTCTGTGTGTGGGATGCCGTTATTTTATTTTTATATGGATTATCTCATCCTTTAGGATAATTTTCAAAAACTCTTCATTAAAATCATTATTGGACCAACAGGACGAGTTCATGATTATAATGCGCTGTACTCTACTGATTTTATCCGTTAACATCTTAATTTATATTCTTAACACCAAGCTTCCGAAGTGGAACGGCATTTTCGGTATTTTACAGCTCATAAATATTTTAAAAATGATGACTTTGAAGTACAATTGCGAAAATAAAATAGCAAAAAAGTATATATTTTACTTGATCGTAAGGTTTATATTGAATATATATTTAATTTTGAAGTGCAAACGACAAGTTACTTATAAAACCAATATCTTTAAAATATTTCTGCCGTTCTACACCATCGTATATGAGTTATTATTTCATTTAATATTTTTTTGCTTTACTTCAATTGTGATTTTCTACAAAAATTTAAACCTAATTTTGCAGAAAAAGAAGGTTTATACTGTTGAGGGCACAAAGTTTATGCACTTACTGTCGATCGAGAATCAAATGCGAAAACTATATACACGCTTTTGGAAACAAGTAATGCAAGTGTTTCAATTTTGTGTTCTATTACGACTGCTGATGTGTACTTATGATATCTATGTGACATTCTATTGCTTTTATGCCGTAGCTCACAGTTCGAGCCATCGAAACATTAAGCACTTCTGGTATTCCGCACCATTTCTCTTAAATCACTCGGTAGAAATGATTATTATTGCAATGTGGAAGGATATACTCGAAGAGGAACAGACACTTTTTGAAAGTAATTTAATTTTAATGAATGAAATCAAAAAAGAGACATACAAATGCAACAATTCAAACGAGCAGGTAAAAATTTTCAAATCGGTAATAAATTTTGTTAAAATTTCCTTGCGGGAAATTTATTTTTAAGAATTGCATTTGACATTTTTTGCCTTAAATGCGCAGATTTATATTAAAGATTTTGGTATGGTACATCGTCCTCATTAGTGGTTATAATGAGCTAAACCGCCTGAGACACTGTGAATGTGCTATTACTTAACTAAATCATGTAAAACTTTTTGAGCTAAATGTTCGATAACGAACAATTGAATGCAAAGAAATGAAATAAATACAAAATTTTAAGAAATAAATATAGCTTGATAAAATCAATGAAATGGAAACTATTTTTTTTTGAAACACAGAGCAAATTAAGAGTATCTTACGTTACGCTTCTGGTTTTATTACAGCGCGTACGGGATTATAACGTACAGCGTTCATTTATATCGTAAAGTGGGGAAATTAAATTTGTATATGGCTTCCAAACCAGTCAATTTCGTAATTATATGCATTAATGTATTTATACAACACAAACAGCACAAACGATAAAATAAATCATTGATACCAAAAAATAAATTAATTTAGAAGACATTATTATTATAAAAAATTAATAAATTTGATATAATATTCTCTACTCTTCCAGATAAAGCTCTCATTAATATTCGCAAAAACTCATACAATTTTTATTTCATCATCATTTGATAATTGCAATATAAAGCGAATTACATACCTGGATTTTATAGCAGCCGCTGTTGAATTTACAATACCATTGATGCAGCTTTACATTAGCGAAACTAAATGGAACCATTACCCCAAACAATGTTTTGTACCTTCACCAACTTAATGAAGTTTTTATTAAAAATCGTAGTAGTTTTTAGGATATTAAATTAATTTGAAAATAATACACACTAGTTGAATTATTTGTAAATCGAGATGAGTTGACAACAACAACAGTTGGTTTGGAATGTATAAGTGGAATAATAGCAAAAATCGTTCACTCTTTAGAAAAAATCTCCACCATTTACATACATATTTGTATCTAGTTAATTTGTATTTTGTTTGTTTAAACTTAAACCTATCAAACCGCTATAGCATACTTTTTAAGGCTTTTTTGTTTAAATATGTCCCATAATGCTGCATATATATCAATTTAAGTATATTAGTTTAAACATAACATCAAACTTTTTTGTCAATATCCCACTCACTCATTATAATATTTTATACATATAGTAATACATATTTTATATAAGTAAATAAATTTTAAACTGTGTGGAACTTTCAGTTGAAAATCAAGAACTTTCTATATTGTATAATATATGTGTAATTATGCACGTTACTAAACTTAAAGTTTTAAATTTTAAAATACACTAATTAACCCAGTAAAAATTTATGTTGCTTTTATTAATACATACATATTAATTAAACATAAATAATAGAGTAAAAATAATAATAATAATTTATTGAAAATTATAAAAGATCTAACACACTCTGTCTGCATAAATGTCAGCTGTCAAACAGAAAACGAGTCTCGAAACAGGCTAGCCAACTTCAAAAAAATGTACTCTGTCCGTCTTCCTTTTCTACAAAGTTTGTGTCTGCTTAAAGACGTGTTGAAATACTTTTTAAGTGTTTTCACAGGTAATTTTAGTAAAACAAATAGTTTTCCAACAAGTATTAATGTACTGAGTGTTATTTCGAAAAGAAATTTTCAAATATCTTCAAAAATGCACAAAGAAAATATTTAAATACAGTGCACACGTGCAGTATCGTAGATTAATGTCGGTTTATCTGTCAAAATGAGCAAAGAACGCTAGTCTTGTGAGGTTATGTGTTTTCTGAGCAACTACAATACTTAATACTTGTTTTAATATTCGTATATAATATAAAATAATAATTTATTATTTCTAGTACTGGAACGAATATGTCTACAACCGCCACAATTCGTACACGCAAATTCATGACCAACAGCCTGTTGGCAAGAAAGCAAATGGTTTGCGATGTTTTGCACCCAGGCCTTTCATCGGTAAACAAAAAAGATATTCGTGAAAAACTTGCAGCCATGTACAAAGTAACTCCAGATGTTTGCTTTGTTTTTGGTTTCCGTACAAATTTCGGTGGTGGCCGTTCTACAGGTTTTGCTCTAATCTACGATACGTTGGATTATGCTAAGAAATTCGAACCTAAATACCGTTTAGCACGTCATGGTCTCTTTGAACAAAAGAAACAGACACGTAAACAACGTAAGGAACGTCGTAACAGAATGAAGAAAGTCCGCGGTACAGCTAAGGCTAAGATTGGTCAATCCAAAAAATAAATTAATTAAATATTTCACGAATTCAACGCGATTTATTCCAGAAATCACATTGCTCTTGTTTTACATTATATGAAAATGTGTGTAAAAGTGCTTTTAATTATGGAATAATATCCGCGTATATAACATCAATGAAACGTTTGTGTTTATAAAACTAAGAAAATAAAACAAAAATTTAAATATAATTTTTTTTAATTACATTTGTGTTTAGATTTTGTTCAAAAGGTTTTAAATTGGTCTCTATTTATCTTTGGCAACAAATAATATAAAAGTAAACAATTCCAATATATGCAGTATATCTATAGTGATATAACTATTTATAATAGAAATAAAATTTAAAGAAATATTTAAAATCATCAATGTGAACGGTAATATCAAACTGAGAAGGATATCTACTTTTATTATACTTAATACTTGCAACTTCAACTGAATTTATAAAATATTTGAGAGTGCTTCATTCAGAAACAATAAAGTTGTTTAAATGTTATTCCATTGAATGTTGAGATTGAATAGATATTAGCGCATTAACAACTTATATTTATAATACTTAATTAAAATCAAATAATAACTGAATTATAAAATTTCTTTTTTTAATATTCAATAGACAATAGTAGATTGAAAAGTATCTAAATGATTTTTGTTTGTTTGGATGATACGGAAATGAATAATTAGCACTTGGGCAAACACATATATGCAATTAATTAAATAACTAATCATTTTAGCAAAGTAGCTATAGAGCTAGGTAGGATATAACTTGGGGAAAACAATTTCAACACACAATGAAGTTACCTATTATTATTTTTAGAAATTATAACTTATTACAATAATTGGTTGAAGATAAAACAATAACTAATTCTCAACTGGCGTAATAAATTATTTACGGCTGTCTCGCGCTGATTGTGTTTTTAAAATAAGTACGTATCACAAAATAAAGATAATTTTACTACTTTTAAAATAAAATAATAGTACAGAAAATGGTATTAATGCTAATTTCAATGTAATTAGTATTATATTAACTATACGGAAGATATTTTAAAAATGTGCTTTATGTATGATTTATTCAAACTTAATTTTTTTTAGAAATATTGTTAACAGCAGTTTATAAGTAATTAAAAAACGTAACCCTCATAGCAGACATTATCTTCTAATATCGAGCGTTTAGATGAGTTTTTATTATTCCTATACTATTCACCCAGCTCGATTTCCCATCGACTTACTAAATAATATGATGTACAAACCTCTACTGGTACTGGTTCTTTCTCCGGACGACATCATCTTCGTTTCTCTTGTAATCCCAGTCTACAATTGTGGTCATACCAAGGTAATCACTACCTAGCAAAAACATTCTCCGTTCCTCCCCTCACTTGTTTTCAAGATTGACTTGGATATATACAATGTCTAAATACTAAGCCTTCTGTATTTTAGTGTCTGGCTTTTCCCTGATTATTTTGCTTTCCTAAGAGGTGGTTTTAGTGGGTTCAAGTCTCACACTGTGACTTTCGATATTTGCGGTCGGTTATAATTTTTAAATCACGTAATTGCATTATGGAGAGATGTGTAAACACTAATTATTTTCATATGTCTGGCAGCACCACCTCTGCAACACATGTGCATTTGTTTACAATTTTTTAACTTAAGTCGTATAAAAGTTTTGCAAACAAATATGTCAAGAAAAAGTGATGATCCTTTTGCTGCTTTGGGTTTAAGACCTTGGCTTACAAAGCAATTACAAAAATTAGGTAAGTACCACTATATCAATTGAAAGAAGTGTATTTTTATTATTGCGTGATGTAGGTCTAAAAGGTGCAACACCCATACAGCGTAATTGCATACCAGCAATTCTAGCTGGAAAGGATTGTATTGGAGCCGCCAAGACCGGTTCAGGTAAAACATTCGCATTTGCATTGCCAATATTAGAAAAGCTAAGTGCTGAACCTGTCAGCCATTTCGCACTTATATTGACACCTACACATGAGTTAGCTTATCAGGTAAGCTTCATACATGAATTATTTATTATAAATTATTTGTTATTTTTTTATTTAGATTTCCGAGCAATTCCTTGTCGCTGGGCAGTCAATGGGCGTGCGTGTATGTGTTGTTTCAGGCGGGACAGATCAAATGATTGAAACACAAAAATTAATGCAAAGACCACATATAGTAGTTGCTATGCCAGGCAGATTAGCGGATCACTTAACTTTTTGCAAAGACCTATCATTTGACAATATGAAATATTTAGTTGTTGATGAAGCCGATAGAATGCTTAATGGCGATTTTGATGAAAGCTTAGCAATTATTGAGAGCAATATACCGAAAGAGAGACAGAATCTGTTCTTTTCTGCTACTATGAAAGATTTTATAAAAGAATCTAGCATATTTCCCATAACTACAGATGTAAGTACATATAGTAGAATAATAAAATGTATTCTTGTGTATATTATATATTTATTTTTTATTTATTATATATTTAGTGTTTTGAATGGTCAGAGGAATTTGAAGTTGCTACTGTGGATACCCTTGATCAACGATATTTGTTATGTGCTGAATATGATCGTGATATGGTTCTGATAGAAGCGTTGCGAAAATTTCGTGAAGAAAACGAAAATGCAAATGTCATGATATTTACGAATACAAAAAAGTAAATTATTAAAAAAATATTGGCTTAATGTATATTTCAATTCTTTTATCGATTTAATTTAGATATTGTCAGTTGCTGTCAATGACTCTAAACAATATAGAAATTGAAAATGTATGCCTACATGGTTTTATGCGCCAAAAGGAACGCGTTTCAGCACTAAATCGTTTCAAATCCAATCATATACGTACCCTAATAGCAACAGATGTTGCTGCTAGAGGTTTGGATATACCTAGCGTTCAATTAGTGCTTAATCATCGACTACCACGTACCCCAAAGGAGTATATACATCGTGTTGGACGCACAGCCAGAGCAGGACGTAAAGGACTAGCTATATCAATATTTCGTTTTCCTCGCGACTTAGAACTGTTGGGAGAAATTGAAAAAGCAATCAACACAAAATTAACAGAACATCCAATAGATCGTAAGTACAATAATAAAAATTAATTTTAACATGTAAATATATTCATCAAAAATATCAAAAATTCTAGAACGTATGGTGGAACGTATATTTATGCAAGTTAACGTAACTAGACGTGAATCTGAAATACAGTTGGATAATAATGATTTTGATGAACGTGCACGAAACTATAGACGTAAGCAATGGATTTTGGAAGGAAAAGACCCTGATGATATGGAAAATCTGTAATGAGTTTATATTTTAAATAATAAATTTGGTAAAAAATTTATTTTTTTTTTATAGTTACAAGAAAAAGCAAAAGGACAAAATACGTGAAATACGTGAAATACGTCGTAAACGTAAGGAACAACAAAAGGAATTCGCTGACAAAGAACCTTCCGCACTAACGCAGGATGAACGTTTTAAAATGGTTGATTCAACACGGTTCACCAAGCAAAAAGTTTCTCAAGGTAATAAAAAAATTGACAAAGGAAAAACGCTAAATAAAAACTTATCTGGCAAAAAACTAAATAATACTATTAAGAAAAGTTGATGTAATATATAATAATAATAATAATAATAAAATCCTTTGTACATAATTATTTTTTTTTTTTGTTGTATTTTAACAATTTATTAAAAAGTCTGTGCCACGTAGCAGTGATTCATAAATAGGAAAATTAAGTATTTGTAATGAAAATTAACTGTTGAATCAAAATTATTTAAACAATTATTTAACAATAATAATTTTCTTTAGACAAAAATGTGTTAGAAATATTCACACTACTTATAAATTACAAATACTTAAACTATGTTAAACTATGTCGCAGCTATAAATTTATTCAATTAAAATACATGAATTTTGTTTTATATTAATCCAATATTTATATTTTGAGATACATATTAAACATCATAATAAAATAAGGCACTTAAAAGATATTTTAAATACATGAAAGTCACATCACATTCAAATAATTTAACTTAATCTAAGGTTATTGTTAATAAAGCATCTTCCGGATAGACCTCTAACAAAGCTTTGGCGCCATCATTGAAAGGATAAGATATACTGCCATCAATGACAAGATCTAGAAAATAAAAAAAAAGTTTGGTTTTATATTGAATATATAAGCAAATTTAAATTAATACAAAAACCTTGTTCTAAATCATTACTTTTGTGTTTTGTTTATCGGTTTTTGAAATAATAGTTTTCTATACGAAACAACTTGATTACTCTATAAACTTGCTTGATATTATATATTTTTTTTTTAGTTGTAATACGAATCATTCTTCAAGGTACACGAATTTATTAGTTTTGATTGTTTTCACCTTGACTTGATGCACAAATGACTTGACTTTGAAATCTCATGTGTACTTACTTGCATCGATGCAACGCGATTTAATAAATAAGCTCTTCACAAATTTTCTCGCTTCGAAATCTTTAGGATACGGCCAAACGCCTACGCAAATTTGTTCACGTATTGAGTAACATAAACGTAGATCATCTGTAAACAACGACAGCATTTATAATCAAAATAAATACAAATAAATTATATTACAATTAACCTGGTGGAAATATTAAATTTTGATTGTAGTTTTGCACCATAGTTTTTACATCTACATTCTGAAGTCCACCGTTTATAATTTCAGGTGGCAAAACCTTTATTAAGTCCTCAACATGCTTCGTGGTTATACGGTTAATGCTATAATAATAAAAAAATAAATGTAAATTATAAATAAATAAATTTTTAAAATTTCTGAATAGAATATATTGTTTATTAAATATGTTAGAGACTAATTAACATTACTGCCGACCTGGTATGCCATGAAGTTGAGCCAGTACCTGTACTGACACATAGACCAGAACATTTCGTTTTGCTAGCAACATCCTGGTCATCTATAACCATTTGTAAGTGCGAAACTCGTGCAGACAATTGTTCACCAATGAAAACCTTACCAATAATAAGATAGTGTACGATAACAATTTCAATATATAACATAGTCGCTTAAGTGTTCCTTACCTCATTTAAGGCCAAATATGGTAGGACCCTTTTCGTTTTTGATTTGTATTTTTTCGCCAACTCTAGACTTAAAATCTCCGGTTCTGTTTTAACTTGCTCCATTTTGGTTACTGTATGACGATATAAGTCAACACATTCTGGAGTTGTTTGATTGTTCCCCAGTAGTGTTGTGCGTAAACGAGTACGATGCAACCATTCAAAACTCCCCTAGTAAAATGTGCAATTAAAGGTAGTACATAACTTACTCACAACCCTTCGTACTTACACCTTTTATTCTCGCAACAGCATCTGCCGGATTTTCTGAATAATATTCTGGTAACATCAATCTACCTTCGGAACGTTTTGGATCAGAATTGAAACCAACAATAGGGGTCTTTTGTTGACTCTGGGCAAACAATGGACTAGCACGACCTGCAGTCAGCAAAAAAGTACCGTCACCACCAATGGGCACAATCACATTCGCCCATTCCATAATCTCTTTGCTAAGCGAGCTTCTAAATTCGTGTCTTCAAAATCTAAAATATTAAATATCGAAATGATCAACAATATTCTTAGTTTACCTGTTGGCCAACTTCACTTCACAACCACTGTCTTGAAAACTTTTCACAACTTTTCTTTCAAAATCTTTATGAAGATTATGCAAGTATATTAGAAACTCAAAGTCAGTTCCACGATTCCTTATTACTTGTTCCAGTTGGTTTTTATTCAAGCGCGGGTGTCGAAGCTGTTCAAATTCATAACGTGATAATTTAGTAACGAAAAGCGCACGTTGCAGCTTAAAATTTGTTGGTACAAACTTTGAGTGTTCTCGTTTTTGATCACAGCATTTTCGAATTGCATAGTAATCTGTGATAAGCAGAGATAAATAATTAAAAAATTTTATTTATTAATAAAAAATATTAGCATAATAAAATGATATTGAAAAGATAAATGAGAGAAAATAACTTGTAAGCATTATTTAAATAAATCAAATAAGTATATACATAGTACTCAATGTAATAGATTATATATACCATGAAGACGATACTATTCTAACATTGGACTACTAAATTGACTTACAATAACTGCATAACGAGTTTCTACAAACCACAGCCGAATTCAAAGTCTTGATCGAAAACTGCTGGTAACAATTAATTATGCAAATCAAAAATAAGTAGTTCAATATAGCAGTTGTAATTATATATACATCTTATAGAAAGTTTCAGACTTTAAAACGTTGAAACTGATGGAAATTACCAAAAGTAGAGAAATGTATATATATAACAAACTATCATAAAATAGACCTACCTAATGGGGGAAACATCATAGCAAGAATGCCTTAGATTAATGGAAATATGCACATCTACACACCCAATGTACAGCCTATTAAACCATACGCAAATCAAGTTCGTTATACTATTCAATATAATTTGTACGAATACCTATGTATATACCACTAGATCTAGTATCTCCAAACGAACAAATAACGATTGTGACTAATATGAGTAAGCTAAACCTAACAACAACTGTCCCAAAGGCCGAACCTCTAAAATGGCAATATAGACATATGGGCAGCATCTGAATCAGCCGACTCAAATTAAACAATTTATATATTATATAATTTATATATATATATTTATATATTACTTATAATTTATATATTATTATGATCAAAAGACCCCATAAGAAAATTTATTTTAATTAAGGCCAATAGAATGCGTAAAAATATTTCTATATTATTTTTCTGAAGCACGACGTCATTTATAATTTATACAAGTATTATTATTGTTGCTAATCATGAATTCTTTACAATAAAAAACAGAAAAATATTTGCAAAAAATTATCTATAAAAAAATCTTATCAGAGGTTTGTTAATCAAAAAATTATTATTTTTTTTAATCTGAATAAAAAATATTTGTAAACAAATTGATTCAATCCGACCTTACAATACTCTAACCATTTTTTTTCAGTTCAACAAAATTATTTTTTGTTCAACTGTTTAAATACCGATGAACTTTTTAATAACTAATTTAAAATATTTTAATAAGATATGCTAACATTAATTATGTTTATATAATTAAGTTTTTAATCCATAAGAATTTTTAATTCGTAATTATAGTGCAGTTAGGTGGCATTTATTGTTTTTTTATTTTTCGCTTTTTGGCAATATTATGTCTAGGCTAACCCTGTGTCTACAATAGCTAGAATTGATAATATTTTTTAGAATATATCTTTACTTTTTCACTAACACATACAAATTTTTGTTCGTAGGCAAGTCTCGAAAATAATATGTATTCGCTTTTGGACACTATCGGTAAAACTCTAGCCAAATTCTAGCTATTACAGACACTGAATAAGCTAAGCACTGCATAAATGCGTGCTGTAAACTGGCACTTTAACTTTTATTTATTTTTATTGTATATACTTCAGCTAAATTAGGCACTGACTACAGGCGTGGGCGAAGCAAAGAAGTTTATTTCGTTATTTATATTATTTAAGTTTAGTTGAGCAATTTTAAACAATTTTTTTTTTTTCATTATTGTATAGAATGTACGAGTAAATATAGAATAGTAGGCCTTATATACCTCATGTAGCGCATTTCGATATAAATGTCATAAATGTGTACTTATTTCCAGGGACAAAAATAGTTTTAATTTAGTATTTTTAAAACGTTTGTTTATTATAACGTAATGACATCGAATTATTGCAAAAAAAAAAAAAAAATTTCCTTTTAGTTGCTTATCAGTTATTTAATTTCCGATCATATTAAGTACTCCTCAACTAATTTAGAGTCGAAATTTAATATATTTAAATATAATTAATATAGCTAGTAAATTGTAAAAAAAAAATAATTCTCTAATTCAGTTATTAAATCAATCATAATTAATAAATTATATATAATTATTTGTGTAGACAGTAAAAGCGCTGTTAAGTAGATACCGACAAGATCACTGTTGTTGCTATTGTAACCCGTCGGGATCTGAAAACAGATAACATGTACCCAACATTACAAGACGAATACATGGGTTGGGATGTATATGGGTAGTAATTAGGATAAGGGTGGGGGAAAAAGGAAATAAGATCACTCATTCTGCCCGGTTAAACCACAAACTGCCATATAAAAAAGAATGTACTTTGTATGAAATATAAAAACTAGAAACCAATAACATTGCACAATTAATATAGACTAAGATTACACAGAGCTTTCAGTGATATATACAGTGAATTGTATAAAATATAAGTTTTTAATTTGTAAATACAAATTAGTGCAGGTTCAGTAATAAATTAGCAATTGAACTTAATACAAACATAACTTTTATAAATCATTAAATTTAAGAACCTATCTGAAATAGGAAAGGAAAGTAATATTAAGGAAATTACATTATAATTTTTTTTTTTTTTTTTGAAAATGTTTGACTACTTTATACAAAAAGTTATTTTGTATATTAGTAATATTTATCATCAATGGTCTTCGGAAATATTTCTTTTTTGTAATTTATTTTTAATTTACTAAATACGAAAATTGAATTCAATATAGAAATTTAGTTGGCTTTATTTTATTTATTAAATGTACAAATTAAATTCAATATATGAATTTAGTTATCAATATTTTGATATCGTATAATTTTAATGATTTATTATCACTTTTTTAATGACATCTGTTACAAAAAAAAATATGTTGAATGCCATAAACCTTTATATAAAAAGGAATTTTTCAAAACGTATTTTAAATATATTGAAAATATAATCTCGCTATTGCCATTTATTTTGTATGTGTTGTATATAATACTGCTGACCTATTTCAATTATTTTCCAAATAAAAATGCTTTGATTTAGAAAAAGTCCCTGTGTTAAGATATGTTTGATTAGATCAAATGTTACGAGATCTGTTAAGCAACATCCAGACAATAATTAATCGATTCACCTCTTATCAATTCAAATATCAATATTTTCGAGAGCACCGTGAAGGGTTCCAATTTATTTTTAGATATAATACGAAAATAATATAAAATAAAAAAATATAAGTGATATAATATATAATATAATAAAAATAATATAAAATGATTTTTAATTACCGAAACAAAAGTAAGTAATAAGTAAATATATTAAAAAGAAATAACTAAACAATACAATAAAATTCTATTAATTTTAGGGGTAATTTGAAAACTTGTTCACCTGTTCTCATTTATTTTAATCTCATTACATTTTCTAAGGCATTGACTTGCACTGTTTCCAATTAATTTCAATGGTCCTTAATGTTACTTAACTAAGTAGGCATAAAATACTTAGTGATTTAGTATGATTAAATTATTACCTTTGTTGATGCGCAAAATTAGGCCCCGACACTTAAGCATTTTAACGTCTTCCCGCGTGCACCAATTATAATCCGCAAGATGTTGTTGATTTCAAATTATGTTAATAAAATTTGCAGCGCACTTTGGACTCTTCAGCTGATCTGTACTCGTTACAATACCGTATAACTTCAATTAGTGGTTATGGCAGATACCGAAGCACACCTACGCTATAGTGTAAACACAATTTAAATACCATTCGTCGGCAGTAACATTATTATAATTAGAATATATGCAAAAATAATGCAGTTCTTAGATTTTGCACCAATTTCCAATATTGTATAGCAATTTACGTGTTCAAAGAGCGTGTAGAAAGCAAATAATTGAATAAACCAAATTGAACTATTATTATAATTAGTAACAAATTTTTATATTTTGCTAGTATCTAGAAAACATTTAATATTAGCAAATATAAATTACTTTATTTATTTATTTTATTCACTTTCGCCTCTATTCCGTCACGACAAAGGCTATAACTTGCTTCGTTCACGAGATACAACTGCTCTATTGCCCATGGCAATTTTAAATTTTCGTACTTCTCAGTCGTGCTATGAAGCCCACTTTGTGACCGTTTATAAATTTTTTATTGATAAGAATATCACACAAATGACTTAACATTATAACTTTGTTATCAGTAAGAACATATTTTCACATTGTTTTTATTTTACAAATTTAAGCCGCTTTTAAGGGTTGTCGTGTTGCAAAAAAAAACACGACAAATTATGTGCAAAACGAAACATTGTGAAATTTTTAAAAATCTGGCCACAACAAAAAAATTATTCCATCAACTGACAATAAATAATAATAATACTTGCTATACTTGCGATATTGTAATTAACTTGCTATTTGTTTTAAGATGCTTACAAAATTATTTATTATATGGTCATATGTTTTTTGTGTATATTATTGTTATGTGAAAAAGCAAAAGAAATTATTATATTATTTTTATATTTTAAAATATATATTGTGGTTATTTTTTAGGTCTGCTCCACGAGGTACTTGTAGTAACTTTGAGTAATACTGTATATACACAAGAGCGTTCTACCAGTAAATTGTCGAGTAAATGAGAATATAACAGCCCTTTCGAAATTTACTAGTACATATTAGTTCAAATAAAATTTGTGTTGATATATGAATTACCTGTTTTGGTTTGAATTTAAATTTTTGTTTTGTTTATTTGCGCAGCACTGGTGTTCTCACCAGACTTTACCATGAACCAGCTGTTCCATGAAAATCTGTGGGCACTTTATTTGTATTTGTATTTTACTCAAGTTTTACTATGAATAGCTGGTGGAAGTGATCTATTATCACTGGTGTAACTAGGACTTTTTTGTCATAATGTGATTTGTTGATTTTTGAATAATTTCAACATATTTGACTACTTTAGGTTATTCAATAAGCATCCAAAGTCCAATTTACAAAAAATCTGTAATAATAAAATTAAAATTGACGCTTTTTAAATATATCAACTTTCATAACATTATAAATCTGAAACGATCTAATATCTTTTTTATATCAGTAATGTAAAGAAACTACTTAAAAATACTGAATATGGAACATTCATAAAAATGTCCTCTTAACCTGAATACGTGATTGGTGCATAATATATTAGCCAATCGAAATTTACCTCACAGTTGTTGTTACTCAACAAGGAAAAGGAAAAGTTAGCGATGATAGGCTCCAGGAACCAGCCGCACCTCGAATCATATAATTTCATTCGTTCAAACCACTGTAGGATTAATAAAAACATATTATACAAGTGCACTGATTTGTAATTTAAAATAAAAATGCAATTAATTTCAATATATTTATTAAATAAGTAAAGCACTTATGATATGAAGAAAAATTATAAAATATATTTTATTGTATTCATATATGTATGCAGCAGAGTTAAACAATACTTTTATAAATTACATAATATATTATATAATACATAAAATAAATATGTGTTATCGTAAAAAAATTTTTAAAAATATTTATTTTATAATATTTATATTTACAATATAATATTTTTATTTATTTTTGGTTTTAGATCTACTGTAGAACTTTATTACATGCTAAATACAATAGTACATATTACACTGATATGTATATACATATATATAACTGTATATATAAGTATACATATAAGTATATATGTAAGTATATAAAATGTAAATATATAGAAGTTCAAATTTAGAAAAATATTAAACAAAATTATGCAGTTATATTTCTGCTAGTCTTTCTAGTTATATTATAAGAAAATAAATTGCTACTTCTGCAAATACTGTCATAATTATTTGTTAAATCTTTAATCAAATTGTAATTGAAAAAATTTATAAGAATGCTTATATGTAATTGTAATTTGAGTCAATTTATAAGTATGCTTATATGTATACGTAAATAATTCAACCAGCAAATTTTATATTTGTTGAATATATTTCAAATTACAACACAAAATCAGGAAAGTGCATTTGCAACTTATCATTTACCGAAATCTAATATTTAATGATTTTTTAGTTGAATCCGGCAAAATAACACAATCTACACCGTTGCCATTAACAGTATAAACCGTATTTCTTTCAAAATTCAAATTTGATATTGGCTTCTCCTAGAATATAATATTATTATGAATATAAAATATTAATAAATTAAATTATTATTTAAATGTACCTGTAGCAAATGAAGTTTCCTTTGTATGTCCATATCATAAACGACCTTATGTTTGTGTTGAGTTTGCATTGATTTATTTAAAACGATTTCTGAAAGCGCAGCTATGGTCGGAAACAAATTATTCATATCAGAATTTCTATCTTGCATAAAATTATTGTTATACATTGGTCTATTCTCAAATGGAAAACATTGATTTGTCATATTGACATGCCTAGTAAAACCATTAACCATACCATTGGTAAGATATTCATTCATATTTTTATTTAAACAAATGGTGAGATCATTATTATTTCTTGTGTAATTGTTGGAACCAAACCAGTCAACAAATTGATTCATATTTCTGAAGTAAAGTTCAAATTTAATTAAAATTATCAATTGTAGAAATTATTTTAAACTTACATATGTTGATTAGTACCGCAACAATTGTTGTGTTGACATATATGATTCTGATTCCACGGATATCCTTGTTGATTTATTTGACGATTTAATTGTAAATTATAATTGTTAAAGTTTCCTTCATTTTGAAAATTCTGAAACTCGTTTTGATTCATGTTATAACCCAACCTTTGTTTTATTCCGCGACTACGGAAATTTTTCTTTTTTATACCATTTTGTTGTACTTTATTTTTACGTTTTTTTCCTTTACCATTTTTTACAGTATTTGTTGGAAATTGTAATGCATTAGTTACTGCATTGTCATTACTCCCTGCTTGCATTAAACGCCAGTTTAAAGATGATGTCTTTGCAAAATTACTTGAATTTTTTATTTGAACGGTCATGTCAATGTGCTCGGGGAGCTGTGTATCACTTTTATTATTAGACGACTCTTGTATATTAATGCGATTAAATCTCTCTTCATTATCCTCATCCATTTCGTCGTCCGATTCAATAATATATATGTAATCATCACCTTTTACTTTAGTTGAATTTTTTCGATCATATTGAGATCCTGAAAACGCTTGAATATTATTTTTCAAAATGTATTCGTCTGTAAATAATGAAAAGTAATTTGATTATGAAAGATAATTAAATATAAAACACTGAATCAAATTTTACCCAAAGACATATTTATACTATCAGATAACATCATATTTCACGCAGAATTTTTGCCTCCCAAACTTGACGCTTAATAAATGAATGAATATTTTTGATATTAACTACCGTTAGATTTGTCAATTCTTAATTCAACATTTAAATACAAGGTTGCTATTAAAGGTAGTATAATTTTACATACAACAAAAATTAATATTTTGTTTATATAATGAAAATTTACAATATATTCATAATGAATATGATGATTACAAATTTATTAGTTTAAAAGTATATTTTAATCTTCATATTTATTTCAGTGATATAATATATGCATTTTTGTCGTATTATTTAGTCGCTCATTATATCGTTAAATTACTTTCCATATATAAGGTATTTATATATTACGACGATAGTGTGAATTTGTACTTATATTATTTTTAATTACATATTTTATTTAATAATTTATTTAAATTATAAAATATAATATTTTATTTAATATATAAAGAATTATAATTACATTATAAAAAACTAAGTTCCTAATAAATAATAAAGTAAAAATTAAAAATAAAAATCAATAATGAACTAAAATCAATGTTCAGAATGCAGAAAATTTTGAAATTTCCTTTTACAACAAATTTAATAGTGGTTTAGAATATTTATGTTTTAATAAGTGTAAACTTGTTAGCAACAATTAAGTTAAGAATTTTAAACCACTTTTCAATTATACTTTCTTGAATGTACTCCTAATATAGTTTTGTATATATTTAAAATATTTGTTTTCCACAATTTTGCGTATTTTTAAAATATTTCATTGCTAAAATTTTGAAACTTGTGTTACTTTTTAATATTGTTTGAACTTTTGTTTACAATATTTTGGCATATGACTGGAATATTCGCTGAAATTTCCAATGAAGATTTATAATAGTTCGTTTATTGCGCTGGTAACATTTTTTTTTGTAGTTGCTTATGCTTAAATGTTTGGCTACTTCACAATTAGATGTTTAAATAAAGGCAACAGTGTTGTTGTTTTGCGTACATTTTAGCAACTTTAAGCAAACAACTTGCTGTTTTTTATGACACTTTAAAGGTGCCAAAAACACCTAATAACATGAGTTTAAGTTTAAATATTAATTAATAATATATTTGTGAATAAACTATTACAATATTCTATATGAAAAAGAACAACACGAATATACTGCAATAATTTTTAATGAACATAGAACGCTAATGCTGTAAAAATTGTTTAAAATACTAATTAAACATAGTAATTTAATTGTTGCTCCTGACAAAGTCACAAGATATAGTATATATAATACACTCGTCTCCAAGCAACACATTCGTGTATTGTGCTGTCTACTTTCACATTTTTATATATCCATGTCTTTTTTGCCTTATTCAACACTGTCTTCGTTACATTTTTAGTTTCGTTCAAACGTGTTGCTCCTTAACGAAGCCGCAGCTGCCATTTTAATATCCGTCAGCACACGTTTTTCAATCTTGACTCGAGGTGTGTGGTACACGCTTCGAGGAGTAAATAACTGGCTGTAATTTAGATGGGAACTTGTTGTAATCAACAATTTACAAGTAAGCATGCATAATTTAGAAAAAAATTAATTGCAAATACGTATACGTTTGATGAATAAATAAATTTTTCATTAAACGACGAACTCTTTGCTATATTGAATTACTGAAAGTTTGAAAGAGGTAACACAGACATTGTTACTTTTTATAGAATTTAGTAACAATATTCAAAGTCATTAAATTATGGCAGTGCATATAAATACGATTTGAATATATTTGTTTTATCGTATAACTCGTACACTGTCATAATAAGAACGCAAATTCTATTAAAACGGCAATGTTTGTTAGGTAATCGCCGTTGCCTGAAGACTTGTAACATTTTATAATAAATTGATTTTTGATGTTATTGAATATCTTAAATTTATTTAATATTCTTTTTTTTTTTTTTTTTTTTTTAAGAATGTTACTCTCGTGGACTTTACGCAAAAGAGGTGAGTAAACCAACCATTAAAACTTGTCGAGTCTAGAGTCGCTATTAAAAGGAATACTTTCACCTTGTTTTAGTGCTATTTAAAAACTCGAAGAATAAATTTTTTCACATAAGCAAAACCCAAGCCTTATAATGAACTTGCGGTGCATCAATGTAGTGAAATGAACATTATTTATTTCTAAACTAGTAACTTATTAGATTTGAAATAATTGATTTTCTGTTTTACAGGTTTCAGCAATAACGTCACTTAGTTGATGCAAGGGAAACCATATCATGTGAGGTAATACTATATTTTTTTTTACTATTTATTTAGTTTATCCCTGATGATATATATTTTATTTTCTGACATCTCTTATGAATCACTGTGATTCCAAGAATTAACAATTTATACTGATATACTATACATTTTTTATAATATATTACACAAATTTAAAGTTTTGGTGTTAATCCATGCTTGTTTTTTTTTTAGATCTGAGCTTGAATTGAAAAAATGCGAACATGGGACTAGAGTTTAAATAGGCACTATTGTTTGCTAGCTCGTTTTGAGGTAATTAAATTTTTATTCTGACCTGTTTTTTCATTATATGCTTTCATTGATGATACTTTTAACCATTCTCAGACATACATAAAAAAGGTTAATATAAACAAACTTATCCAATATTCTTTTGGTTTGAGTGCGTTTAATTTAACTGGTTATGTATCATGGTTACATATTGGCACTGAGTTTTATTCTTAGTAATTTTTTATTAATTCATTTGCGTGAAAATGTATAATATATAAAATTTTATTTTCAGATATTGACGTGCTGTGACAAATGGAAATAGTATCCGTATCACATATCGGGCGAACTGTGACCGACGCAATGTTAACGTGTTATAATAAATGCACGTACAATTTATGTGAATATATCCAGCCAAAAATAGAAGAAAAAGTGGTGTTATAATTTTTGTTTAATTTTATATTTATATAAAAAGAATAAATAAAAACTAAACTAGAATAAACTGAATCTAAAAATCATTTTTTACTAAATTTGCTTTTTCTCTTAATGCTAGTTGTTTATCCTGGCTTGCAATCATACGATCGCCCTTAGATTTTTTGCCGATTCCCAATTTCGGCAATCCTCGGTTTAGTCCTTCAAGCAGTGTACAAGCTTTACAAGGTTGCTGTGAAGAAAGAAACCCACATCGATCACATTTACCTCGTGTTGGTTGCTTTACAAAATCGTTAAATCTCATTTGCTCTCCCGAATGTATAATATTCAAAATTGCTTCTGGATCAACTTTTTCCATATCCTTTAACAGCTCACGTGCATGGCCACGATAAGCATTCGGTGCAAAAACACATTCCGTTGAAAAATAAACTAATTTTTTGTAATGTGCATACATGACAATTTCTTTCTCGTATGCGTATTTTAGTGGTTTAATGCGCGGTATTGAATTCTGACCACCACCAGTTCTTACATTAGTACAACGACGTAAACGGGCCGTATCTCCACGTAATATATTCATAAGTACTGTTTCAGCAATATCATCTGCATTATGACCCGTTGCTATACAATCAACACCAAGAAGCTTAGCACCTGTCAATATAAATTTTTTTGTTTATAAATAGCAACTTTTATACGTAAAAAATTTATTCGTTTAAGTTACCGCGCTCCAAAGCTTGTCTACGAAAAACACCACAAAATGTACAATTATTTGAACGTCCAATTTGTTCGACAATTTTATCCATTGTCCAGCCATACAGCTCCTGGTATGAAAGTATCTTTAAAGGCATTTTATAATCATCCCGATTTTGCTTGACAGTTTCTAGACTATCGTCGCGATAGCCAGTTATACCTTCGTCAATTGACAACAGCGTCAGCTCAACTCCATAATTGTAGCGTTCATTTAGAGTTTTAAGTACGTAGG